TAAAGTTCAAATAATATCCAAGCAAGTTTTGGACAAGGTTCCAAAACAGCTCATTCAAATCTTGTCTGAAACATAGAGATTTTTTTCCTACAATTATTTAAATATTGATAAAATAATATTTGACCACTCAATAATTTATATTGTTAGAAAATCCTAATTCGTAAGTGCCAAAAATTTCTTTCATAAACAAAATTCTTTTACAGTTGATAAGTTTGGTTTGCGTCTCATTATCATATATATTGTTGTCGTCTGTCTAATTTGTTTAGCAGTATTCATATTCTTCACCTAATTTGGTGTAAACAAATCTAAGAATAATATTCAACCGTCAAAATAATAATTTTTTGATATAAATAAATGTCAATTATTCATTTTAAATAAATAAATAGTTTTAAATTTATTTTCTTTGTTTAAATATTGATAAAAATATTGACTTCTCAATAATTTTGTATTGTTGGAAAATTCTAATTCGAAAGTTTGAAAGCTATTACGATTATCATTATTATATTGTTGTTGGAGTAATATTTTTGTAGATGTAAACATATTTTTATTAGTTAAGTTACGATGGCTGTATCGCATCAAATATGTCTGTTTTTTTCTGTTTGTCACATACCTCCATCAATGTTAAAATTTATTTTGAAGCTTTTGTGCTTTAGATTTAATATAATTGATAAGTTTTAAAAGTTATTTTGATATCAAAAATCTGGAGGCATAATTGAATTGAAAAGTTTTAAAATTAAAATCGGGACCATCTCACCCCAAAACTCAGCAAATTTATAGCCAAATTGAACATTTTGATAAGACGAACTCAATGACATCAAAATAGGTCTAATTTGAGCTCAAATGGGCACGAATCAAGAGATCAAAGTATATTTAGAAGCTTCAAAGCATTCATTGAATAATCAAATAATCTCCAAATATTGCATGCTTATTGTCGAATCGAGCGGCTCGACAAGATCAATCCAACAAGACTAAGATCACTTAATTATGACATCATTAAGGTATTTAAATGCTTGACGAACTCTCTATGATCAAGAGATTCAATATAAGTCGCATGACAGAGCACTCTGAATTTGATATATATCTTCTCCATATTTAAAGAGTATGCCACTCCCAAGGATCTATAAACGCGCCCTCATTCTTCACATGAGGGGGGTTCATAGTCAGGCAATAGTGGTCAGAGGGATCATAGTTGGGCAACAAGAGTCAGAGGGTCTGTTGTCGAGCAAAGGAGGCTATGCAGGAAGGACAACAGTCATCAGACAATGAAGGTCGAAAGAATCATAGTTGTGCAATGAAGATCAGGGGATCATAGTTGGCAGGTGATGGAGGTCGGAAGGACCATAGTTGGAGAGCAACGAAGGTTTGAAGGATCGTGGTTGAGCAACTGATTGTGAATGACTATAGTTGAGTGACAGTGGTCAGAAGGACCGTAATAATGCGACGGAGGTTTTAGGGATAGTAGTCAAATGACTAAGGTTGGAGGGACCCTAGTTGGGTGACGATGATCCAAAGATTGTGGATGGTGGTGGAACGCATGTCCGCCAGTGACAACCGTGGTGGAACGTATGTCCGCCAGTGACAACCGAGCAGAGGTCTGGTGACTGCAGTAGCTAGGTGGACGTCCAATAACGATGGACTCATAACAACCTAATATTTTGAAATTAAATTTAAAAAAGGAAAATTTTGAATTCCTATTTGAACTAGAGTGTTGTAGTGCTGAGCTTGTAAATGTTGCAGCGCTGGGCCTGTGAGCGCAACGTCATCAGAAGTTGCCACTGCGACATTGAAGGTTATATTCTACAGTAATTCTGTATTCAACATGCTGTAGCGTCAGGCCACTAACGGTGGTTTTATATATATTAAAAAGTAATTTTGTCCACTCGCTCTCCATCATCCACCAGTGCCGGCTTGCCGTGGAAGGAACAAAAAAAAAAGAGAAAAAAGAGGAGAGAGAAAATTTGGATTTTGGTTGCTAGTTCGCTTCATTGTTTTGCAAAAATTGCTCAGATTGTGATATATAACTATTATCCTATTCATGTTTTAAAAGATTTTTATTTTGACAGTTCGTTCCAAATTAATTTTACTAGATTTTTTCTGAATTTAGTGAATTTCCACGGTGTAAGTTTTTTATATTTTGTAGGATTAATTATTTTGGACATTTTTACTAGTTGATTGTGTAATTTTACCCATAAATAAAAGTTATTGTATTTTGTATAATTTATCGAGAATGCATATGTTTGTATTTTAATATAAGAATATTGGTATTACAAGCATTGCGAATAATATATGAGTATGTGATTAGCTAATAGTTGATCACTATTATTTTTATCATATAATAATAATAATATGTGAAAACAAGCTAAGATTGGTGATTTACTGATGTTGGCTAGGGATATCCTAACATGATCGTGGGCCAACGGTCTTTCCTTTAAATATTATGATATGATGTTATCATGTATTGATTCACGTGATTCATTGATTATGGTAATAAGGAGTTATTACTTTGCCAACTGGTAAAGAGTGACAACTTTATTTACTGAGCAACGGTTACTAACTTACTAACTACTAGAAAAAATATCACATAAGTTATAAATTTTTACTTGTTTGATGTAATTACTGTAATGCATGTTACTATACTAGTTTATTATTGTTGCACTATTGCCCCTATATTGTTTTATTGTTTCAACACTTTTACTGATTATTGCTACAATGATTGTATTGTTTTACTGTTATTGTCATCGATTTTATGGAACCTTCTTTATCAGTTCTTTCTTTGCTTCAATTTTAGATGATTATTTCTTGGATAGCTTAAAGTGAATATCCAAGGGAGTACAAACTGATTTTGCCTCTCTCATGTTAAATCTCTGAAGCACCTTTCAAACATACTTTACCTGAGATAATTTTAGTATAACTGCACTTCTATCCATTCTGATTCTTATACCAAGAATTTTCTTTGTTGGACTCCAATCTTTCATTTCAAACTCATTTGATAATTGTTCTTTCAGACATCTTATCTTCTTCATATATGACCCTACAATCAACATGTCATCCACATACAAAAGCAGAATAATATAACAATTATCAAAATGTTTGAAAAATAACTGTGGCCTAACTTGCACTTCGTGTATCCATTATCTGGCATAAACCTATCAAATCTCATGTACCATTGTTTTGTTGCTTACTTCAACCCATATAAGCTCCTCCTAAGCCTACTCACCAAATCTTCATTACTTATGACTATATATCCCCAAGGTTGCATCATATACAACTCTTCATTAAAGTCACCATGAAGAAATGCAATATTTACATCCATCTGTTCTAGATATAAATCTTCTACTGCTACTATGCTTAGTACAATTATGATTGCAGTCATCTTCACCACTTGAGAGAGCATTTTAGTGAAGTCTACTCCTATTGAAAACCTTTAACTATAAGCTTGGCCTTGTAACACTTGCTACCATCGTGTTCTGTTTTTCATCCTAAAGACCCACTTATTCTGCAGTGCTTTCTTGCCATTTGGTAGCTCTATCAACTTCGAAGTTTAATTCAATTCAAGTGAACACATCTCATCATCCATGGCATAGTCCCACGTCTTTAAATCATCAACTTGAATGACTTAATCATAACACTCTGGTTCATCACTATTTGTCAATAATAAATAGTACAAGGAAGATGAATCTATTTATACTGGCCTAAAGATTCCGCTAGATCTCCAAATTTTAGTAGCAGGAGTCTGAGTTATACTTTGTGCTTCATCAGCTTTGCCTTCTTAATCATCATCCTGTGTCTAAACATATTTGGAAGAATCTTCAGGAATCTCATTTCTATCATTGTACATTTCACTTTCATTGAATTTAACATCCAAGGTCCTGATGAACTTGGGATTCTGATAATCCCAGAATTTGTGGTCAGATTCATCTGAGCCATATCCAATGAATGAACGCCTGATAGATTTTGGATCAAATTTAATCTTAGATCTTGCATCAATATAAACATATGATGAACAACAAAAAACATTGAGGTGAGATAAATTAACCTCCTTTCCACTCACGGAATAAATCATAAATTTCATTGATCATATCCATATATTCAAGAATTAAATCTGGTCATATTAAACAATTTTGAAATATTTTTTAAGCACATTTAGGCCAATTAAAACAAACTCATACACACATCACATACATAAAACTCAAATTTAAAATTTCTTAGTTGATAGTCAAAACTCTAAGCCAATAGATCAAAATGAGCCGTGTATAATTCTGAAATGTAAGAAGATACATTTAATTTAACTCTTATAAGATATTCATAGTTGCTCTGCAGAATTTAATAACAAAATAACTAAAACTGCTTTTAAGAAAAAAAAAACTTTGATTGATGACTTCAAGCATCAACAGACTTGATACATATGAAGCATAGGATAAAACACAAAAAATAGTTTTTTTTAATTAATCAGAAGTTTAACTGATTGAAATGACAAGAATTACATTGAATTTCAATAGATGTTGGAAGTTCAAGTTTAATATCAATCTTAATTAATGTATCATCAGCTCATCTTGATCTGTTGGTTGAGAGCTTTGACTATCAATCAAGAAGTTATAGATTCGAAACTTGCATATGCGATGGACGTGTGAGTTTGCTTTAATTGGCTCAACAGTTCAAAAAAAAAAAAACTACAAAAACCGCTCAATCACACACGAGCTTGTAATTCTTCCACAACATGTCTGGAGGGTTAAACACCAAGGGGCCTAGCTCAAGACAAATATAACAGTGGATAGATATCCCTATCTAACAAAAGTTTAAGCTAATGGTAACAACAATTAGGTCCACCACAACAACATTAACAATTAAAAGCTTATTCTAGTTCTAACATGGGACCATTATCCACTCCCACTTGAATATAAACAAACACTTACAAATCAAGCACTTATAATCATATTTGCAACACTTTAGTCGCAATCATGCAATGAAAAAAGAAAAAAAAAAAAAAAAAACTGGACAACTGTGGGCCCTTTAAAGTCAAATATGAGAAAAACGTCTTACCAATAATTCAGAATAGACAACTGTGAACATAAATAAAAAATCAGAACAGTAAAAGACAACATTTACCAACGAGATAAAATTTTCACAATTTGGAGCTTAGGGTAAACAAGTTCAGTTTTTGATTTCTATTGCCAGGACTCTGCAAAATCCTTTGCATAAGGGTTTTACAAATAATAAGGCAAGGAGCATTGCACTTACCTCCCCAGCAGGTTGCTGCTAGTCTCTCCACTGATATTCTGCAAAGGCTCATTTTCAACCATATCAATACATGGGAGACTAAAGCTCAAATCAGCAAACTTTAACTCATTTTTAGTAAAGGTGTTGTCACCCCTGCATTGCATATAAGCTTCATTGAGCTGTAGAGCATACTCCAAGTGCCACAAGACTTCCCCTATGGTAGGTCTGTTCTTACCTTCATCACAAAGGCATTTCTCTGCAATCTCTCCAAACTTCTTCAAAGACTCCAACGAGAAGTCCCCCTCCAACCGAGGGTCGACGATGGTTTCAATCGATCTTTGGCGCTGCCACCGCACAGCCCATTCTGCAAGGTTAATTTGATCTTTCGGAAGCTCGGGGTTCACGACAGGTCGAGCACAGACAACCTCAAACAGCACCACTCCAAAAGAATAGACATCAGACTTTTGAGTCAGTTGCTGCCTCCTATAGTACTCAGGATCGAGGTAACCAAAGCTCCCTTTCACTGCAGTGCTCACATGAGTGTGATCCAATGCTGGGCCGGTTTTAGACAGTCCAAAGTCTGCGATTTTCGCGACAAGATTCTCATCCAATAAGATATTTGTTGTCTTGACATCTCTGTGAATTATGCCTCTTTCTGCTCCTGTATGAAGGTAATGAAGACCACGAGCAGCACCAATGCAAGCATCCACCCTCTGTTTCCATGAAAGAGGCGGAAGGTTACTTCCATATAAATGGCTTCTAAGAGTTCCATTTGCCATGTACTCGTAGACTAAGATCATTTCATTCTCATCCTCACAGTATCCAATCATAGAGACAAGATGCCTATGACGGAGTTTTGAAAGCATCTCAATCTCAGTCTCAAATTCAGCAAGCCCTTGATTGGATGAAGGGTGTGCCCGCTTGACTGCTATGAGGTTTCTTTCCTCAATCTCACCCTTGTAGACCTTGCCAAAGCCCCCACTTCCAATGACTAATGCATCATCAAAGTTTCGAGTTGCGGTTCGAATTTCCCCTAAGCTGAACCTTCTTCCAATTCTATTAGAATTTGTTGAGCCAGTATTAATCAAAGGTGACTTTCTTAACTTGGAATTTCCTGTACTTCCTACTGTGTCATGAAGGTAAAGAGGATGCCAACCAGGAGGATTATCTTGCTTCATTGAACTCATCCTCTTATTTCTCCAAATGAAAACAAATAAAGCAGCAGATGACACTGATATGGCAAGTAAAGATACAGAACCAACTCCGATTGCAGCCAAAATACTCTTACTCTTATGTTTTTTACTAGCTGCCCCTTCACCAAAACCATCAATTCTCTCAGGACCAAGAGCAAGATTTCCATTATGGCTAAGCTTGAAGATCTCCAACCCATTGAGAAGAGCATCACTGCTTGGAATACCAGTTAACGTGTCGGGTCCTAACTGAAGCCAAAGAGTGTCTGTTTGATGTGAGACTCCGACGACGTAGTCTTCATGGTAAGCTTTGTTCATCCCTCCAGCTTTTACAAATACATCATAGTTATCAGCTGCTGTTTGGTTGTTGATGTAGATTCTGAAGACCCTCTCGCTTCGCGTATTATAAGTTAGCTCGCAGAAATGCAGCCTCACTAAGTAGTCAAAGTTAGGGTCTACTTCAAATCTCCATGACATATTGAATCGCTTTTCGATTACCTCATTGTCGATCATAATCCTTGCTGTCTCATAAACCAGAAGAGGTGCAGCAAATGAATCAGAAGAAGAAACATAGCTTATGTTAGAATGGTTGGCTAGGGTGCTCGCAGCATTCAATGAGAACATGTAGCTTTCATCAGTTTCCCATTTCCTCCACAATAATTTATCTTTACTTGAATCAATTTCAAGACCTCCTACATTCAATCTATAAATTGTCTCAATGCCTTGGCCACCAAGTCCCTTGAAGCCAACATCGCCTACTTTGTTCACAACATCAATGAACAGGCCAGCAGGAACAGGAATGACTTCAATTGCATTCACAAAAGCAAATGATCCTGAGTTGGGCACAAAGTCAATCATTATTTCGTTCGAGCTCACATTGAGAAAGTACTCTTTTACTAGAGAGGTGGCACTTGAATTGCTCATCAAGTTCTTCAAAGATATCTCTCTAATTACACTGAACTTGGAAACCAACTTCAGATCATTCGCCATCACATCGAATGTGGAATCATTCACATTGAAGCTCTCAAATATAAAAGGATGGAAATGGAGCCTAATGCAATAGCTTCCTGGTACAATGGTGAAGTTATAGTGTGATGAAGAGTTGAAAATCCGGGCTGTCTTGTACAGACTTCTATATCCTTCATCAACAGTGATTGCAGAAGTATATGCAATAATCCCAATAAAACTGGGGCTCAAACCAGTTCTAGACACAGAATCTCCAACCCATTTCCTTCCTTCAGCAGCAAATACTGAATCTGAACCGCAGTTTATAAACAGTGGACCCTTCTCTTGAGCTAGTGCTGTTCTTAGAAAGATATGTATAGAAGCCACATAGAGGATCCAGAACAACTTCATTCTGCAAATTCCCTAATCACATCGATGCTGTTCTCTGATATATATATGGCAGAAATCAAGAATCCTCCCAGAACAACTTTTAGGTGTAACTTTTGCAAAACTATAGAAACATGCAAAGAAAAGGCACCAAGCTCTTGAAGAAGGAGATCTCAATTTCTACGTCTTAAGAAATTATTTCTTTTGGATGGATCGCAACTTCACCATTAGCCCATTCAATTTTCTGCGTTGTCCAATGGAATGCCCTAAAAATTGAAATTGAACAGAAATAAGAGATTCTATGATAGAAATTAGGAATCTATTAAGAATAACTTCTGTAAACACTATGAAAACATCCAAAGAAAAAGTACTCAGCTCTGAACAACTTCAAGTAAATCCCAAATCCTTAAAAATTGCCTTTTCCGGAAGTAAACGCATTCATGATTATTTATTCAAATTTCTGTATTGTCTCACAGTGCACGGAAAAAGCAAAATTTAAAGACAAAGAAGAGATTCAATCAGATAAATAACTTTCCTACTCTCTTTTAGACAGAGAAAGAAGAAACAGCGGAAAACCAAAAGTCACATGCAGTCACAAAGATCTGGTCTACAAGAAATGCACCTTAATAAGTTCAAAATCAGTCTGAAAGAGCTTTCGGGACAAATATTTGGTTTTGCCCCCTCTCCACAATCTGTAGCGATTGTAGCGACCAGCTATACAGATCAACGGGAAAGGAAGGCTTTTCCTCAGCTGAAATCAAGGGCAGTGTTTGTGTGTGCGTGAGAGAGAGGGCAAATTATTGCCGTGAGAGAGAGAGAGAGAGAGAGCTCTGCAGTGAAGCACTTCGACAGTTGAGTGTGCCAAGGCGGAATTATTTGGTGCAGCGATTACTTATTTTTGTCCATACTCCTTGTATTCATTTTCCTCCATTAAAGTGGGCTTTTAATATGGAACTGAGGTGCTCATAAATATTAACTTTTTTTAGTGAGTTAATAAATTTTAAAAAATATAATTTATTTTTATCTGAGAATATATTTTATGAGATCATCAAATATTTCTTCGAAATAAATTTTAATGTAATTTTTAATAAGTATAAAATAAGTCAGCGGCATTATGGCATATAGAATTGTTTATAATATGTTAAGAATTAGATACTTTATTTATATTTATTGTCGGGTAATGTGCTGCTTAAGTGAAATTTTTATAATGAATTTATTTTATTTTATATTGATATTTAATTTAATAAAAATTTATTAATATTAATCTCACTATAATAATTAGGAGTGATAATAAATTTTAATAAAAAATGAGACTTTAAAATTTTGATTTTATATATCCCATAATAAGTGAAATTTGGAGAAAATGTGCGTTGTTTGATTTTTTTAAGAAATATGTTCAAAAATTTGTTTCATACTAAAATATCAATGCTTTTGAACCACAGAATATTACACAACGCTGCTTGGTCTATTGGTTGAGAGCTTAGGCTTCCAACTAAGAGGTTTAAGGTTCGAGTCTATGTGTATGAGTTGTGTGTATGAGTTTGCCTTAAAAATGGCCTAAATGTCCAAAAAAAACAAAAACCACATAATATTTATTGTATGTCATGATTAATACTGATTTGAATAAGCTTAAAAAAGATTCAACCAAAGTTTGTTCGTACCATAAAATAATAAGGTTTATGCCCTTTGATAAATCATATGATAAGAATATTTAATAAAATCTTTCTTAGACAATATTTGAAATTTATCCAAATAATGTTCAAATTTTATTTGAAACTATGTTGAATATGGTTCACACATGGATTGATTATAGTTTGAACATGATTGGAATACTAAAAAAGTTCAAACAAAAGTGTCACAAAATAATTATCTTGGTTAGACACGAATCTCGATGCAAATATGAATAAAAAATTTTCAAAAAATTTCCACTTCGTTAGGTTAGTATGATCAAGCACTTGAAGTGCAATAAAAAAATTCAACATACTAATTTGAGGACCGGATAATCTATATATAAAACATGCATGCTTATAATCAAATGGAGTTTTGAACTAGATGAATCCAAAGAGTCAAGCGTAAAATTTTCAAATTATGATATATTGATATCATTAAGACAATTAAATACATAAAGAATGACATATGGTTGAGGGAATTAATACAAGTTGTCTATCAGAGAGTTCGGAATTTTGCTTTATTTACATGACATGCCACTTTAAAAAATCTATAAATAGATTCCAAAATTGTCAAATTATGATATTATTAAGACAGTTAAAATGCCCAAAATAATGAATTATGATTGAGAGAATTAATACATGTCATGTAATGGAGAGTTCTAATTTTATGCTATATTTGCATCACATGCTATCTCTAAGGGGCTGTTTGGTATTGGATTTACAGTGGGTTTTAAGTCGAATTTATGCTAAATCTAGCCAAATAGTTTTTGTGCGCGCGTTAAATCTCGGGATTCGGTAAATCCCAGATTTAGGGATTTACAGCTTAAATCCGGGATTTAGTAAATCCTTGAGGTAGCCGTATTTAGCGGGATTTGAAGTTCGAGCGATACATTTCGTGCGGCGCCCATGTCGCCAACTGTCCAGCATGCACTATTTCTACAAACGAACGCAGTCATCCGCCTCACTCGGGATTTCTTCTTCTCATCTTCATTAAGCTGCTTCGCTAGAGTCTGGCTGAGGCGACAGGTAATCTAGTTTTTCCTTTGTTGTGTAGATCACAGTTTGATAGTTGAGAACTTTTTGTTGCCGTAAAGCGCTGGAGTAGGGGATGTGGAAGATACATTATCTTCACATTTTTCATGAAAACTTCAATTACTTTGGGAATTACATACACCAATAACTAGATTATAAAATATTTTGAAAGGGCTAATTTGTTTGCTTGTACATAGAGAACATTTACTAAAAGATTTGATATTATTTTCACTATATTGTTTGATACGAAAATAATACATTTTACAATTACTTATTAAGGTTTTTGAAGAGTTTGAAGTAATATTAATTTCAAATAACGGATGCTATTTAAAACACTTTCTTGTGGAGAACCTTTTTTTTTTTTGCCGCAAATAATTTTGATTTTATTATTTGAGTGTGATGCAATTAGATGCTTGTACAAATTGAAAATTATAAATTAATATAGTGGTAATTTAATTACAAAAACCTTAAAATCAAAATAGATTAATATATATAAATATAATTGTTAGCATCTCTTTTCAAAATGAATGCAGTGGTAATTTAATTATATTTAGATTATCTCGATCATTATTATTTAATTCTTTGGTAGTACAATAGTTATGGTTAATTAATTCAGAATAAAGCGAACGTATAACACAGGGTTTGACAAAGAAAATATTGAATCAGTGAGCGACAACGAGTCATCTAATGATATCTATCTCAAAAGTTATGGGTTCCCTCTTGATTATAGAGTTTGTGAAGCAAACAACGGTATTACTAAAAAAAAAATACTTCATAAATTGATTTACATATGTGACAATAAAAATTTAACATACTTATAGTGCTTTCTTAAAGATTTGAGAGAAATGAAGAGATTTCTAAAAGGGAAAGATTTAGCTCATGCTAGTAATATCTCTCAACCTCGTGGAGCTCAAGATATATCAATCCACTCCGGCCAATCCAAAAGCACATCTCAAAGCCCTAGGTGGCCCGAGGAACACAACGTCGTTCTTGCCGAGCTCTTTGAGCAATTCGTGAATGACAATATATGTAATGGAAACTTAAGAAGGGAGCAGTGGTCAAATCTTGTCGTGATTGGGTACATTTTACACTGAATCATCAGTAATGATTATGATCAAGAATATGAAAGTTGACGCTTTATCAACTAATGAATCATAGTGGATGGTTTCGGATGAGGAATTACACGTTCCGATTGCTACTGATGAACTTTGGGATGAAATTGTACAGGTAATATTTATCTTATTTATTTTACAATTAGATCTATCAACACATTATGTTAATCAATGTTGTATAATGAAAGTGTAGGTGAATCCAAAGCTATTACAATTTCGATGACATCTGTTTCACCAATACGAAATTTTTTGAAAAAAATATGTGCAAATAATATAGCTGTTGGGAGCGGTGCGAGATGCAATAAAACAACATCCAACACAATATGTTTAGAGGTGAAAGATACCCCTCAATTCGAAGATGAATTTCTTACAAGTAATGTTGTTGCCTACGAGTTCGAAGGAATCCCAACAAGTGATCTCCCCGATGCAACATACTATATGCCACCATCTTCCAAACCCACTGCAGGTCAAACGGTTGGCTCTAAGCGATCAAGTGATGAACCAATCAAAAGTATAAGCCGACCACGAAAAAAGGGAGGTTTAGATAACCTAAATAAATTATTGGTGGAGTCCACCAAAAATGTTAAAGCTTTTAAAGAAACGGTTATAAGAAGCAACACGTACACAATGACTGAATGTTTGCAAAAACTAGGCACTATAGAGAACTTAACAACGGAAGCTCTATTAGCTTTTGTTGATGCATTGAAGGATAATACTGATTACAAGGCCATACTAATGACTTGGGAGGGTGAAGTTCTTCACAAATGGATCGAATTTATTGTTGAAATCCATCTGCGATTTTATTCATCAAAGATTTGGCTGTAGTTTTTCCCTGCAATGGTTTAGTAATAATAACTTATTTGCAGTTCTGTAGGTCTATTGTACTCTTTGAATTTGTAATTGCGTAGTGATTCCATTTGAATATGTTTGCTTCAGAAAATGTAATCCATAACTTATTTGAATAAGTTGTGCTTTCTCATTGTGTTCTTAGCAATATTAAAAATGTAATTCGGGATCTTCACGAATTTATGAAATTCTTCTATAAGCATTTAAGATCATGTTCTTCTACACGCATGAATAGTTTGGGTGAGGTATGTTATGTCCAGAACAGTATGTGCAGACTGCATGATTTAATCAAAACATGTTTCGGAAGTTAAGGGAACTTCTTCTCTGAAGCAGGATTAAATGTGAATACAGAAGCATGAATGTTCAGATTCTTTGGTCTTGCTTAACTAGCTTATTGTTAAATAGTTTCTGTTGAAGCAGTTCAAAGAGTAACAAAATGATTGGCTTGAAAGGGTGTATAACCAGTTTAGTAGCATATCTTATTTTGTCGTATTTATTTATTGTAATGTTTTATATAGATGGGCGTTTATGGTCTTTTGTTTCCCATTGTTCTGACAATGCACTTATATGATAATCTAAATTTAAGATCATTGCTCATTATTTCCAAAACTACTAATTGAGCAAGTTTTATGAATCTTTTGTGTTTTCATTTTAATGTTGGTATTCAACATGAATGACTTATGGAATTAATTTGCATATTTAGGTCCGTAATGTCAAATTTTTTATGGGGTGTTCTTTCGGAAGAACAATGCAAAATGGTTGATTTACATATATAGATTACTAGTGCTATAGCTGAACTTGCCCCTATTATTATAGAGGAAGCTACTAATATTGATGAAGAGGAGCGCATCTGATATCTGATGTTCTATAGAACATACACTGGTCATCAGTACGTGTTGGATGTACTAGCTGGACATCCAGGGCGGGCATACCAGTGTTTTCGCCTGCCACCGGATGTGTTCATAAGCTTAAGAGATATGCTTGTTGTAAGAAGACATCTATCAGACACGAAAAATATGCTTGCAGGGGAACAACTTGGTATTTTCTTACACAGTGTTGCACATGCGCACAGCTATCGACAATTATGTAAGTTTTTCCAGCATTTCTTAGAAACTGTTAGCATATACTTCAATCAGGTATTACAAACAATTATATTTTGACTGATGAATTCATAAGTCTATCTCCAATAGAAGTTGATTGTCATCCATTCGTGCGTACCAATGAACAATTTTACCCATTCTTTAGAAATGCAATTGGAGCAATAGATGGTACACATATTCCCGCAGTTGTTGGAAGTACTTCACAAAATCATTATCGAAATCGTAAGGGGTTTACTTCACAAAATGTTATGGTTGCAGTGTCTTTTGATCGACAATTTGTGTATGTAGCCTCCAGATGGGAGGGATCAGCGGTGAATATGCGTGTGCTAAGATGGGATGTAGAACAAGGATAATTTGAAGTACCATACAATAAATATTACTTGGTTGATTATAGATATGCTAATACAAATAAATTAATTGCACCATTTCGTGGATATCGATATCACTTGGCTGATTATCATGGATGTGCTTCTCGACGAAACACTGTTGAGCAAGAGTTATTTAATCATAGGCACGCATAGTTACACAATGTGGTTGAGCAAACTTTTGTGATATGGAAGGAATGTTTTCAAGTTTTGACCCGAATGCGACAATTTTCATTGAATGTTCAAGCATATATAGTTATAGCTTGTGCCGTTCTACACAACTTCATTGGCCGATGTCACCGGCATTACCTCTACTTTAACATGTCATAGACTGAAATGCAACATGACGCTCTAGGTGGGGAAGTTTATATGACTGAAGAGGATCCCAATTTACATGCATCAATAGGAGAAAGAATTCAGGGCGAAGTTATAAGGCATAATATCGCCATTGATTTATGGAATGCTCGGGTTAGAATTTTGTTTTGTATTATATATCTTTCATAGATTATATTTTATAACTAACCCATTCATTTCTTTATTTCAGGTTGCAAGTCAAAGAAATTGATCGGCTTGAGAAATTTTTTTCAACATTCTACCTATATGAAGTCAACCAAAAAATTGAAGATTGCTCTTACTTATGACTTTTTCTTTTTTGCTAATATTAGTTTGTCATTTCCTCTATTTTGAAAATTTCATTAATATTGTTTGAACTCGAATTGTTGGTATTGTGTTTTATGCAATGAACTTGATTACAAAAATATCTACATCAATTTTAAATCCCTAACAGCCATAAATCTTGAAATATGCAACCAAACAGTTTTCAGAATTTAACAGGATTTTAACATTTAGCATAGCAAACAATTTTCAGGATTTAACACAATTCGGATATACTAAATCCGGATTTACAGGATTTATTAAATCCCACTTAATTTAAATCCCACTTGTTGCCAAACAGCCCCTAAGGTGGGAGGATTCTGGTCAGGGAATTAATACATGCCATTCTGATTATCTAATGGGGAGTTCTAACAAATGTCGATCACATTTCCTTGACCATCATTGCCCCATCTCGACACTCTGTTCAAGGTTGTCTAACTACTGTGATATGACAATTATTGTTTGATTATGATAGTTTAGCAATTGTCACATGGCTACCGAAATCTAACCACAGTCATCTGCCTATGGACATCCAACCACCATCATAGAATTATGATTCTCCGACTACTATTTCTCACTTGTGGTCCTCATACCACCATCAACCAATTATAATAATCCGACTAGCATTATCTAATTACAGTCCTCCAATCATTTTTCACACTCGATTACAATATTTTGACCACAATCATCATACTATGATAATTTGACCACTGTAGCTCAACTACAGATCTCTGATTACCATCGCTAACTACGATCCTTCGACTACAATTTATATATATTAAGTTGCATTAACATCTTTCTCAAATAAAATAAAGAACATCATTTATAATCAATAAAAATATAAATAGAATCATTTCAATTCATGATTTTTTTTCCAAATAAAAAACTTGTAAGTATCTGTGTTGAATTTTTGTGAAAAATAAAGAAATTAATTTTGCTCTCTGGCACCATAAATATTTTGACATATAAAAATATATATTATTAAACTATTACATAATTGAACGTAAGAAAAAAAACAATCATATTTAAAATTTTAATTAAATTAACAGCATCCACACGCTCCAACAAAACCCAGCAACAAAATAATGGCGAGCCTCCTTCAATCCATGGACTGTTATTATCAAATAAAATAAAATCAAGCAAAATATGGCTCTGTCCTTTGGCAGTGAGCAGCTCTCCTTTTATCAAAAACCTTATCAGATAGAAAATGGCAAGCTGAAGATGTGCCACACATATCTCCAATGAACCACTAACCTTCTGCCTCCTGTCCCACCAGAAAATTGCTCCTCTTAGAACACAAAACCAATAAATCCTTGGCCTCTCTCGTTTCCCTCGCTCTCTCCGTCCCTCCGCTGAAGAAGAAGAGCCCTACTACCGCAAATTCGTGGAGGTAAGCTCCCATCTTCTCGGTGGCAAATCTATAGATTTGAACGGAAGTTCAGTCGTCTGTCTTCTCTGCCGCGAAATTAGGGTTCTTTTCGTACGAAACAATCGAGAAATAACATTTTTGTTTAAATTTTGAGCCCGGGTTATATAGTTTATTGAATTTAGAGATCCAAAATGGACAAAAAATGCGAATTGGTTTCTTCCTCTTAGGTTAGGCTAGAGCTGGTAGTACTTGTGTCTTTATGTTGGTCTTAGGTTGCCAATTAGAAGTAATGGCTTCTCCTGCTTCCCTTGCAACGCTGGGAAGCACGAGGGCTTCGCATTCTTCTCACCTCGAGGCTGCTCCCCTGGTCTTGGGCAATAGAAGAATCCATGTAATTTCAAGGCTTAGTTTCAGTAACTCTGGCCGGAGGCAGCAATGGGTTTTGCATTCTCGTGGTGGTGTCTGTAAGTGCATGGTTACCACAAACTTAATAGATGAGAAGCGGGTTTCCTCTTCCCTTGAATCAGTATATCAAGCTAGTAGTGCTAGTAAAGATGAGGATGCTGATCTAATTCTCAAGGCTGCCCCAAAGCCAGTTTTAAAAGGCAGGCCAAATAGTCCTGCCAATTTTGCAAGCTCTACTACATCATCGAATGGGAAGATTCTTACTGGCAAGAGAATAGAAACTCGGGATGAAGATAGAGAGAAGGTGATAAAGTCATTGGGGGAGGTTTTGGAGAAGGTGGAGAAGCTGGAGACTGGGATGGTTGTTAATACAGTTAAATTGGTTGGGAGTGAGATTAGGAGCAATGCTAAAACAACTGGAATCCCTAAGCCCAATAGGTCTGTTAACACTAACAATGCTACTCAGAAGTCGAAAACAATGAAGAGTGTGTGGCGGAAGGGAAATCCAGTGGCAAATGTACAGAAGATGGTCAAGGAAGTGCCAAGGATTGCTAAAGAAAAAGAGGATGAGGAAAAGGCTTCCCTGGTATCAGAGACAATCAAACAAGAAACTACATCTGTTAAAGCATTCAGACCTCAGAAATCTATGTCAGTGCCTCCCAAACCTGTACCAAAACTGCAAGCAAAGCCTGATGTTGCTCCTCGGTCTGCAAGTCAAACTAATGTACAGAAACCACCCGCTGCAAAAGAAAGAAAACCAATTCTTATTGACAAGTTTGCATCTAAGAAACCGGTTGTTGATCCCATTGCAGAAGCTGTATTAGCACCCACAAAGCCTGTAAAGGGGCCTCCTTCAAAGTTCAAGGAGGAGCGCCGTAAGAAATCTAGTGCTGTTGGGGGTTTGCGTAAAAGATTGGTAAAAGAAGATGTTGATATAACTGAGGAAGATGCTTCGGAGCTTGATGTGCCTATTCCTGGTGCAAGGAAGGGAAGGAAATGGACAAAAGCAAGTCGAAAGGCTGCAAGGCTTGAGGCAGCTAAAGCTTCAGCACCTGTTAAAGTAGAGATTCTTGAGGTTGGGAATGAGGGAATGCCGGCTGAGGAGTTGGCTTACAACCTTGCTGTTAGTGAAGTTGAAATTCTTGGGTATCTGTATTCAAAGGGGATCAAACCTGATGCAGTGCAAATCCTGGACAAAGATATGGTTAAGATGATATGCAAGGAATATGATGTGGAAGTTATTGAAGCTTCTGAGGTTACAGTGCAAGAGATGGCAAAGAAAAAGGAGGTACTTGATGAAGAGGATTTGGAAATGCTGGAAGTAAGGCCTCCGATTATTACAATTTTGGGCCATGTTGATCATGGAAAGGTACTTTTCCACCATCCAGTTGTTCTTGTTCTACAATATCTTGTTTATCATAGTTTAATGCTAAGATGAAATTCGCTCATTTGTTTTTTTGTTTCTTATATTGCATTGACAGACAACTCTTTTGGATTGTATTCGCAAGAGCAAGGTGCTTTTATTTCTTTTTTGCAATTCATGCTTTTATTTTAATGCCAGAGGTTGAATTTCTTGAACTTTTGTTGCTTTCTCTCTAGATTAATTTAACAGAAAGAAAATTACAGGTTGTGGCATCTGAAGCAGGTGGAATCACACAAGGAATTGGAGCATATAAGGTTCAAGTTCCAGTAGATGGAAAACCCCAGTGTTGTGTTTTTCTTGATACACCTGGGCATGAGGTATGCATGCTAACGTCTTATATGTTCATTTAGGCTTCGTTTGGGATAGCTTTCTTCTTGCTTCTTAAAGCGATTTTTTAGTACAAAAATTTTAATGTTTATACTAGAAAGCCGCTTTAAGAAGTAGTAAGAAAGCCGTCCCAAAAGGAAACCTTAATCATTTAAACTCTTGACTGTTGTGTTCAGTTTTTCTGGACTTCTGAATCATACATAAACTTTGTAATCCAAGTCTTTATGCTTTTCTAATCATGGGGTTCCATGGTAATAGCACTTCATATGTTAATTGAAATGGAGGAATTAATCTGACCTTTCACAGGCATTCAGTGCAATGAGAGCTCGCGGAGCTCGAGTGACGGACATAACCATCATTGTGGTTGCTGCGGATGATGGGGTCCGGCCCCAGACGAATGAAGCAATAGCTCATGCAAAAGCAGCTGGGGTGCCTATCATAATAGCAATAAACAAGGCATGGAGATGGATTCAAATATGTTGATACCTGTTAATCTAGTATGCTATTTTAATGGCATTCCTGAATCTTAATTACTTTCTTTCTACCTCTCAGATAGACAAGGATGGATCTAATCCGGAAAGAGTTATGCAAGAACTTTCACAGGCGGGCCTTATGCCAGAAGAGTGGGGTGGTGACATCCCAATAGTCAAGGTTGCTTCCCTAATTTTACTGCTTGAGTTTTCATATTTTTTCCTTGCTCTCTCTCTGAAACTTTTTTGGCAGAGCTGATTTATTACTCTTATTTTTTATCAGATAAGTGCTCTTAACGGTGAGAATGTAGATGAACTATTAGAAACTGTCATGTTAGTTGCTGAGGTATGAGAGACACGTCAACTTATATAGCTGTTTCTTATATCAAAGTAGCCTTTAACTTTTATCTGTGAAATTTATCTTCCTTCATTCTATTTCAACCTTTATAGATGCAAGAGTTGAAGGCAAATCCTCATAGAAAAGCAAAAGGCACTTGCATAGAGGCCGGTCTGGATAAATCAAGAGGACCTGTTTCAACACTTATTGTGCAAAATGGAACCCTTCGAAGGGGTGATATTATAGTATGTGGTGAAGCTTTTGGAAAGGTTAGTTGTCCTGAACAAGTAGCTCTTTTTGGAAAACTAAAATATAAAGTTGGTTTAGGATTCTGAGGTGAAATTTGTCCTAGTTCGGCATGGTAGTAATAGCATCCGTGTATATTTGACTCTACGAACTTTCCAATGAACAGGTTCGTGCTTTATTTGATGATAGGGGAGGCCGTGTTGATGAAGTTGGACCGTCAATGGCCGTTCAGGTTTGTAATTCCTTTCTTTCCTGTTATGAAAATTTTAAATTGTTTCTAAACTACTAGCCAGCTATATTTACACGGTAGAAGGAAAGGATTTTCCATATTTTGGAATTTTGTAGGCCTATAAAGCTCTCTGTTAATATATTTATGCATTCTGAATGCAGAGTCTTTTCTTTCTCGAAACATATATCTTATTTATGATAGATTATGTTGATTTTCACTAGTTTCTCATGATTAGCATGTGAAGTAAAATGAGTTTCTTTAGTTAAAATGATGAGTGGCCAGAGTAAAAGTGCACGACTTGACAGCAAAATATAATAATTGCGAATATTATATTGATTATTTATTTTTTAAGCTATGGATCCATATCAAGACTTGTTGTTGGATCCATATCAAGACTGCATGTACTTGATGTTTCATGTTTTATTTCTTGCAGTTGAAAGTCGCTTGTTGAAATTTTTGAATATCTTATGCTCTTAGCCACTATTAAAATAAGAGGATCTTGCCTTCTCAGATTTCCATGATGTTTTGCCGTTGAATGCATTGGCATCTGTCTTTTTTAAAAATTAGAAGAACATGAATATAAGGGCGATGTTTTTTTTTTTCCCTCATTTATTCTTTTCTGGCACATGAGAATTTAGGAACATGTACACATAGGATGGCAATTCACATTTTTCTCCGGTATCATGTGGTTCCATGTTATGCTATCATCACATACTTCACAAAAAGTTGAAAGATTATATTTGGTAATTTGGATCACATTAGTAGATTTTTTCCAGATGTAGAATGCCATAATATAAATTATCTTGTGTCCTACTTCTATTTTAAAAAAAAATGGTGATGCTTGCCGACAATGTACAATTATATATATATATATAAACTAATATTTGTGGTCTTCGAAAGAGACTTATGCGACAACGAGGGTCATAAAAAGATTGAATCGTACCATCACAAGAGATGTAAATGATCATAGGGCCAAAGAAAGGAAGACTAGTCACACATGTTTATTTTCAAACACTTCATAGAGAGAGGACCCTACTTCCTCAAAGGATAAAAGGACAATTTACTCTGCATTCAACACATAATATTAAATAAGATTTATTTTATTCTAGGTAATCAGGTTTTTCAGGAGTGCAAGCTACCATGATTAATTATATATTAGACAAAGAGTTTAAGAATTATGTTGATTAACGATTAAGAGTGTTCGTTTATTTTCCTTCAAGGTTTGGTACATAAAAAGTCTTCTAAGGATCCCTCTTCCAATGGAAGAAAGGGCTTATATGGCTACTTATGCAAATGGTGATACAATCAAACATACAGAGGTCAACACAATGAAGGTGTAATCATGCATGGCATGTATGTATACTAGATGAACATATGAAGGAACACCATTCAATGAAGTAGATATGTGGGTTTTATGAACTATGACACTATACGGATATTGCTAGTCTTTATCATAAATCTAAAGGGGTTAAACATACTAATGATGTACGACCCATGATCTAATCTAATGCAGACGTTGTGATGGGACTTGCAATATGAAAGCTCACCAAATGTTAAAGATGCCCATGATTTGGATTTACACTCCTATTTGGAAATGATGGCTATATATACCCATCTAGTTGCATAAAATCATGATGTTTAGTCTCTTACCTAAATGCAAGATAGGTTGGCATATAAGAAATGGTCTTACAATATTACTGCTAAAGCAAAGTAGTCGGACCATGAATGAACATGATATGCATAAGTAAATTTGATTTAGTTATCTAATTATAAGGAAGTTATAGAAAATAAATCTAATATGATGACTCACTAGAGTATCCATATGTTTGCATCAATATAAGATTTTACAGACTTTGAAAAGCATACTTTTAATGAACATAGCAAGCAAAAAAATGCTGACTACACACTTATTGTCCATTAAAGTGGCGAAGATTGATTATTTAAAAAAGTTGGCTTTAAGAAAATTAGAAAAGGCATGCATTTAATTTTATAAAGAAGTTTTTCTTATGACTATTTTTAAGTAATGTGGTTATTTAAGATAGAAATTCTAACATCCTAAGAGCTTAACGATGACACAAGTCTTGGCCATCTTTATGCAAAATATATGAAGAAACCTAAGAAAAAAAATAGTCCTAGTGTGCAATCAAAGTAGACAATCAATCACAATCATATCACAAAAGAATAAATAAATACCAAAAAGGCAGCTAGTATTTGTAATACACTCTAAGAGAGAAAAAAAATGGTTACTGAGCTCTATCATATTATAACTCAGTTTAGAAACTATACATAAAAATAAATGATATGTGGAGTCTTAAAGGTCTTCAATCTATATCGTTATTTAGCTGTTGCCTTCTAAAATAACATACATACCTACCCGACTTTTCTAACCTAAAAAGTATATGAGTAAAGTAAAAATTACAAAACCCCTACAAAATTGATTTTAGTATAGTAAAATGTTCATATATAATCACATAAGGCTTGTCACAAATTAGTGCCAAGGTATATTTTAGCCACCTATTGATCATGCCTACTCAGGGGCTAAGCTTATCATGATAGCACTTATATTTAAAATAAACCATGTATTTATTTAATTTAACTGCCCTTGTTAGGCATGGTCATCTGCAAGGAAGAACAAGATATCTCCATCCTAGCCTTGTAAGGGGAAGTGATCACAGCAATATCACATTAATAATAAACAAACAAACACAAATAAAATATCATATTGAATCATCACATTAGTTCACATTATGCATAAGAAGAAAATTCCTATTTAAATCATAATCCTAGAATGCCTAAAAGATGTGTCTATCATTGCACCTGAGATATGCTAAGCTAGCGAGGGTATCAATTTAATCAAATATGTGATATTCAAGTTGTAGGTTTGATTGAAAAATATTTAAATTTATGAGTTATGTGTGACTTCAACTTAAATTATTAATATTTTATGCTCATTTATTACATACTTTAACTTGCCTAAATATAATGAACACGACGCATGCTGAAGTTGGACGTGCCATTATAGGGGTCTTAAAAATTATTTCCTAAAAGAGAGCAACAACTTTGGTGTTCCAAGTAAAGATATGTCTGGATCACCTAAACTCTGCTAAGCAAAGTGATAGGAATTAGATGTAATTTCAACCAAAATCGGTGAACAACAATAAGAAATTATGAAGAAGAACATACCAAGACTCTTTTTATTGCAAGATATATGAAAGAAAGTAGCAAATATATAGTTGGATCGTTAATTGGAGAGGAAAATCCGGCTCTCCCAAATCCTTAGCCATCAGCTAGAGCACTCACAAGTCACAACCTAAGAAATTCTAATTTCAGCAAAAACAAGCATAAAACTCAACCCTAGGATAAAGAATCTACTTAAAGCAAATAATAACAAAGCCAAATTCCAAACCATCCCTCCCCAAATTGCTCTTCCCTCTGAACTTCTGCCTGGCGTAAGCCTTGTTCGGACCGGTCCATCACAAAAGTTAGAATTAAAGAATATAAAGCTCCACCAAAGGAACTTAAGGTCATTAGCAAGGATTATGACCATCTAAATTTTTCTGAGATTTTCTATTAGCTAGTCTATGGGTTAAGTGGACTATTGGATCTCTTATGATCAAGAGTTGCTAAAACTAGTTTATAGGAAGATCTCTAATTTGCTTAAACTTATCTAAAGAGAAGGCTAGAGCCACATAGGAAAGTCATTGGATAGTTCAAATATCATATGAGATTATAAACCACTGGACAAGGCCTATGATCACCTAGGACTAAGTTGATGGGAGGCATGCTAAGTCATCCAGGGTCCACTATGGGGAGCTAAGTTCAAAATCGGTAAAAGGAAAATTGATGACTAAGGTAAGCAGCTTTCAAAATCAGGATTTTATTAGTTTAACAAGAACAAAGGGAGTTAAGTTTCTGAGTGTTTTTATATAAAAAACCATTTTTAAGCATATCTTAGTGTTTCTTAACAACTTTAAGAAAATTTTAAAATTTTTAGGTGTATAAAATCCGTGTACATAATGCTCGGTGTCATGATATGGCACAAGTAGTTAGCCTACTAATAAGCGATAATGGAGCCTAAAGATTCTATGGCTTATAACATAAAGGTAGATTTGGACTATTAAGGCCCAAATCACATGTGCAAGTCGCCAACTATCAAAAGGGGCCACTATGACCCATGGGATGAGAGTGGAATATATGAAGTTTTGCCCTACCATAACTATATATGGGTGAAAAGTAAGATAATAGTCAAGGTGTAATGTGTGCACCCATCGTAGCAAACAAAGATGAGGTATATAAAATACAATAAATTATATCTCAGCTGGGGCTATGACTTAAGTTACTAGATTGAGTAGCATACCTAGGCTTGTGCGCACGCCTCAAAGAACCAAGGGGACCTTACTCGAGGTCTGGGGAACTATAGTTCAACTACCAAGACATGGACACAAGTTTCTCATAATTAACAAGAAAGAGCATCTATAAGAATAGTTATGTGAATGAGCAATGTAAATAATCATCATGATGAAGTTATCATGCCATGCAATGCATGTTGTCAAAGTTGACACAAAATGATGCCTGAAAATCACATAAGGCTTCATGAAGATAGTATGGCAATAAAAGTCAAGGCTTATGAACAAAATGTGGGTTCACATGTGTTGAATGAAGAATGATCATATGATGTTTTATATGGGATCATCATAAAAGGAGTTTCATCTGTTGAATAGTCTTTGCATATACAATCTATGGCTTGCCAATGATATTGAGGCATTTTCTCTAATAAATGGCATTCAACTTGATTTAAGATTATGCATATCTAGCATGCCATACTCAAGTAATGAGAAATATATGCCCAATAATTTGGGCTTAATGCCATGTCAATATGAGATCATGACATGTTTCTCGTATGCAAAAGATGCAAATAAGTAAAATAAAATTTTGGTCAGAACTTTTCACGAGAAGTTTAGCTTCTAAGTAGTTTGGATGATCAAAATCAGAAACTATGGGGCTTATTTTAATATAAATTTGAGATCAATATACATATGCAATATGTATGAAGGGTAATCAAAAGAATCCTATTAAGGAGAATGCTTACTATTTGGTCAAATTTAATGTGCAGGATGAGTCAGTGTTGTCAGTTGTATAAATAATACCAAGCCATCGTGATTTGAATATGAATCTTAGGTGAGAATCTAGGCATTTGAATATGAAAATATTTCTCTTATGCCAAAGATGCATGCAAGTAAAAATAAAAAATTTGTTGGGACTTTTCATGAGAAGTTTAGCTGATCAAAATAAGAGACTATGAATCTTATTTTAATAAAAATTTGGGTTCAACATGCATATGAAATATATATGAAAGGATCAAACTTATTAAAACAATCCCATTAAGGAGAAATACTAATTGAGTTGATCAAACTTAATATGCAAGATGAGTCAGAGTTGCCAGCTTTTTAAATAATATCAAGCCACCGTTATTTGAATATGAATATTATATGAGAATCTAGGCATTAAATCTCAAACTGTTGGCTCTTAAAACCCAGTACGTTAAATCTCCTTGTTCATGTACATATTTTATCCAAACAAGTAATTAAATAAAAGAAATTACTGTATTTTATCTTTTTCCCATTAAAAAAGCTTAGAAATGCTTTTTTGGAAAATAGTTGCTTTAGATAGCTTCAATTAAGGGCAAAAGAAAGAGAGAGAATAAGTACTAAGTATTTATATAATTATATAATATGAGCATATTTCAATAAATTAATTAATCATATTATATATATATATATAATAATATTAATAATAACTTAATCTCTCACTTAGATCAAATAAGCCAAATTTGGATGCAGATAGGCCCAGTCTAACTGTCTCGATAATTCGAACTCCCTTGCACAATTCATTTTGTGAGAAGAATCCTTTATCAAAGAGTTTACATAGGTGAAAATTTCATACAAATGGAACTTTGCACCCACAAAACCATGTGAAAATTTTGGCAATCGTCAGTTGCCCTCTTCGTGTGTGCATCCCCAAATGTGATGACGAACGCGGTGCAAGTCACATAATCCAAACCCTAGTATGACAGTTTGGGGTGACCACAAATGATTCGACCTACGCGCGGCAGTGTACGAAATGCATGAATCAAAGTCTATCAATGGTTCTCAAGGACAATGATGACCGCAATCAATGAAGGACCATTTTATGATGTGCATAGATGAGTCTAAGGAAGGTCTGTGCCAAAATGAGGTCAATGATAACTAATTTGTGTTTTATATGGCGATATTTCTCTCCCCACTTCGTTATACATTTTTTTGAATGCTGCTCAGCCAAGTTTTGATTACGTGCTGTGTTGCTCTGTGCCTGTGGTACTCTTCATGGGAGGCTAGTTTGTTTAAAAAAGAAAAGTTAACACCTTAATAATCAAAGGCGTAGAGGTTCAACAGCGTGTTTACATTGCAAAAGTTTGTATTTCGAATGTTTTTCCCTATGAACAGTTTTTTTTATTCGGCATTTGCTAATTATCAAGTTATCTTCTGATTTTTGCTTTGTGCTTCCCTGATTGGGTCACTGCCCTCTAGGTTATTGGCCTCAGTGATGTTCCTATAGCTGGTGATGAATTTGAGGTTGTTGATTCCCTTGATTTGGCACGGCAAAGGGCCGAGGCTTGTTCAGAATCTCTGCGGGTGTCGCGGATATCTGCTAAAGCTGGGGAGACAAAGCTTACTCTATCTTCCTTAGCTTCTGCTATTTCACTGGGGAAGCAGTCTGGAGTCGATCGGCATCAGCTGAATATTGTCCTGAAGGTTGATGTCCAGGTAACTTATCATCAACATTTTGCTTGCATAACAGCTTTTTGACTTGATTTTATGTAAACAGCATTTTAAACTCATAAATTAAAATATTGTCTCAAACGAACTAATAACTTGGGGTGTAAACGAGTCGAGTTTATAACTTGGGGTGTAAACGAGTCGAGTTTAAGCCCTTATTGAGCTCGACTCGTTAGTTGGAAAGTGAGCTCGAACTCGAGCTTGTCTCACTGTAAACGAGCTCGAGCCGGCTCGCAAGCCATGGGTGGGAATTTTAAAAATTAGGCGGTATTATTAAAACTTTAGCGGGAGTTTTAAAACTTAGTTAAAATTTAGAAAAAAAGATGAAATGTTTAACATTTAAATAAAACTTAGGTGGTTTTTATTAATTTTTTTAATATTTAAATTTAATATATAAAATGAAGTTATTTAAAAAATATGAATATTTATTCGAGCCGACTCACGAGCTCACGAGCCGAGCTGACTTGAGCTCGATAAGCTCGGCTCGCGAACCCATAAACAAGTTGAGCTCACGAGCCGGCTTGGCTCACTTACACCGCTACTAATAACATCCACCCTCGTCAATGATAGGGCTCAATTGAAGCAATCAGACATGCCATTCAAGTGCTTCCACAGGATAATGTCACTTTGAAATTCCTTCTCCAAGCACCAGGAGATGTAAGCACAAGTGATATCGATCTTGCTGTTGCTGCTGAGGCTATTATATTTGGCTTCAATGTTAAAGCACCAGGGTCAGTTAAGAGCTATGCTGACAAAAAGAACATTGAGATTCGATTGTACAGAGTTATCTATGACCTCCTTGAGGATATGCGCAATGCAATGGAAGGTCTTCTTGAGCCTGTTGAGGTGAGTAGCTTTCTTAATTCATTAACTGGGTTTTGTGGCTCACTTCAATGCAGCTCCTTTGAATAATTATGTTCTGTTAATTTTTATAGGAACAAATGCCGATTGGAATAGCAGAAGTTAGAGCCAGTTTTAGCAGTGGAAGTGGTCGAGTGGCTGGATGCATGGTAACTGAAGGAAAGCTGGTGAAAGAGTGCGGTCTTCGAGTTGTTCGAAAGGGCAAGACAATTCACACTGGAACAATTGGTTCTCTAAGGCGAGTAAAGGAAGAAGTGAAGGAGGTATGTCCTAAAATATTATTTTAATTCGTTCATTGATGTTTTACTGGGTGCATTAAAATATTGCTAGCAAGAAAAAGGTAACTAATGATTTAGAGTAGGGTTTATGTTTAAATGCATATTATTTGTCATTTAACAATAATCACTCACTTGGGCTTTGTTTGAAACAGCTTTTTGGCTACTTTGTGATAAGAAAAGTAGCAGTAAAAAAATATTGTGTTTGGAAGATCACAGCTTTTCCAAAATTTTGACTTTAAAAATCTGTTTTTGAAAAAAACAATTTTTAATTTGTGGTTGAAAAAGGAGCTTTACAAAGCAAAAAAATAGAAAAGCAGAAGATGCCCCAAATAAAGTCTCAAAAGGCTTGACCCTATCGTTTTATTTATTTTGTGCTCTTGAAATAAATGATTTGAAGGTAGCCAATTATTAAAAATGAATGCTGATAGATCTTTGTTCTTTTTGTAAAGATGGTTGTAAAGCTTTTTTGAGGAGAGCATGGGTCTATTTGAGATAGCTATCTAGTTGCTTTGCTTTTCAGACAACAATTATAATTTCGTATGACTAGTGCATTCTCGTTGTTTTTCAAAAATTTCTTGATGGAAAGTTATCTTTTGCAATCATAGTAGATAAGTGATAGGAAACACTTGGATTTCCAAGTGTTTCTCACCAAAACCCAATAGATTCAAGAGAGAAACTGCTGTCCTCACAGTAAAAACAGCAAAAATACCGTCGAAATTGGGAAAATTGAAAGAAACGTAGGGAAAAACACTTGCAAACGATTGTATTCCCCTATATGATGCAAGAAACAAGCAAGATAACTTTCCTTCGATTCGAGAGGAAGGAAATAACTCTCCTAATCTCTAGCCGTCGTCTAGAGCCCAAAACAAGAAACCCACAAGAACTCAAGAAACTTCAAATGCAAGATAACCCTAATCCCTCCCTTCCTCCTCTATTTAAACAATAAAGGAGTTTTACAAAAGTCCTAACTACCCTTATTATTTAAATTTTTCCTTAAATAAAAAAGCTCTTAAACCTCCCCGTCCAACCCCTGCGCCCGCGCCGATCCCGCCGGGTTCCGTCGCGTGAACACCCGGACCGGTCCAGCCGGTTCAAGTGCCGGCTTAACAATAAGTTATTTTTCTCCCAACAGCTTCACAACCAATTTTATAAACTGATACATCTATCCTAGTCATACCTGAATTTTTTTTAAAGTTGCTATAAAAAATAACTTTCTAGCATAGAAATTTTTAGAAAGCAGTAGCCAAGCAGACCTTTGATTATGATTTAAAAAGCAAAACAGTAAGAAAGTTGTCCCAAATAAACATTTAAGTTTAATGAAATTTGCTATGGAAAAAAACTGACCATTAGGAAGAACATTATTCATGAGCTATGATAAGATTAGTGTTGAGAATATTTCACTGTTATTTTCGTATCTTTAGCTGTTGCAACTCGGATCTCTCTCTCTCTCTCTCTCTCTCTCTCTCTCTCTCAGCTAGCCATAGCCAAACAGTTTAACATTGTAAACTGCCAATCTGTTTTAATCTCATATGTACCATTATGATTAGCATGTTTATTATTATTATTGTCTTCCTCGGCTGATCCAGAACTAGTAAAGTGCTAATAGCAATTCCTTACTCTTTATCTCCCACAACCTTCTTCCAGGTTGGTGCTGGGCTAGAATGTGGCGCTGGTGTGGATGATTTCTCAGATTGGGAAGTCGGAGATGTCATCGAAGCCTTTGAAACAATCAAGAAAAGGCGAACACTTGAAGAAGCATCTGCTTCAGTTACAGCTGCATTGGCCGGTGCTGGTCTCCATCGCTGAGAATGTAGAAGAAGACCACGAAATGATGCTGGCTCTGAAATTCGGCTATGATCCATGCCTGCGTTGCAGAACACCTCAGCTTAGGCTTCTGGTATCCATACAGTGCTAGTGCCTTCAAATGCCATTGATAATCAAGCCTGAGCTTGGCTTGATAGTATAATTCAAAATCAATCTCAAAGTTTTTTTTGGCTCATCTTACGTGTGTTCATGTAAATAGAATAATTCAGTCTGGGCTATCATCTTTCTTGTGTTTTATTTGTGTAGCGCCATTCATTTATCCCACACTGTAACAGATACTCATCTTACAATTTCTTGACAGTAATACTTCTCTACAATATATGGTACTAAGCTAATCCTGTCTTTGATTATCCTAAATCATGCTGCGCAGTGTTTGCAATTTAGAAGAAAAGTGATGGAAAATTCTTATTAGTAGGTATATGATAAATAGTCGTTCTTCATAAAATTCTTACATGTTTAAATTCCAAGCATTATGATATTATTATAGAAAATTATTGTAAATCTTGAAATTATTAGTAGAGCCCTTTATGGAATTCTATTATACAATTTACTGTTATTATAATAATAATGTTAGTTGTTTATAGCAAACTCTTGTGAGAATATCATGATTTTAATAAATCTGGCTGAATTTTAAGAAATCTGTTTTATAACCTTCATTTATAAACTAAATAAACTATGGTTTGTTTATGAGTTTTTGAAATTATTATTATGTTTACAAAAATATCATATTATAAAGAGCTTTATACAAATCTTACAACAATTTATGATTCATGTAAATGAAAGAATTAAGATTTTATTTTATTTATATTTGTGATTTTAGTTTGACTTTGTATATTGTTTTGATGAAATTGATTTTTTGGAAAGAAATTGAAATGCATATGCATTTATCACATGTATTTAATATTATATATATGAATAATATTTTCCTTAGCACTGCTCGATCCCTTGCTATTCGTTGTCCATGTGTATGCTCTGTGAGAGATTATTACGTGCGGAGACCAGACACAGAGAACCGTCTGAATTTATTTCTATGAATAGTAAAAGTCCAGCTTATTTCGTTTTTACTGTTCAAAGAGACAAACCGGATGGTTCTCTGTGTCCAGCCTCCGCACGTAATAATTTCTCGTGTTGTGCAGACTTAGTTGTGACATGAACTAAGATCCCCCGATCCTTAATTGAGAATATTATCAAGTAGAGTACATAATAAGTAATTGAATATGGGGATCATGTCATAAAAGATCTTGACCCCTTTTTTGGGACATTTAGGCTAATTAGGACAAATTCACACAAATAACACATACGCAGGATTGGAACCCAAGATCTATTTGTTGGTTAGCATAGCCAAAGCTTCTAACCAACAAACCATGATGAGATGTGTCTTAACCTCTTAACTACATAAATTTTTTATGATGTTGTTTATTATTCAAAAAATAAAATAAAATCTTATAACATATTTTCAATCTATCTTTCATTGTTTCTCATTGGTTTGTGTTAAATTTTGTTGGTCATTGTTGCCTACTAATCATTATTTTAAAATTGAGATATGATAACCACTGTTTATCCTAGAACTTGATATCCATTACTAAGCATTGACAAATGTGACGATTTTAGCATAATATAATATATTCTATCAATGATATATATATATATATATATTGAAATGGAGGTATCTATCGACTGTCACCTCAAAGAAAGAGCTTGGCGGAATCTAGTGAGGCCACCCACCTACATCGAGCCCACCCACACTTGCTTTGTCTCACTGAAGAGGCGAGACCGTAATAGAGGGGATTCGAGCCCGGGATGGGGGTTCCCAACCGTGCTCACCCACGAACCACCCTAAGCCTAGGTGTGTATTCATAGATTTTTTTTTTTTATTACAGCACACTTTTCTTCACTTGATGCATTGCTCAAAGCTTGAATATCATGAAAATAGTGTTTTCTCTTTTTACATGTGTTGCGGGCTAGAATATACGCGGCGATAGAGTTTTATTCATTCGTCTTAGCGTTATACGGATATCCAGCTCACACAAGATTTTTTACGTGGAAACCCCTTGAAAGGGGAAAAACCACAGGGCCTATCCCAGTTGAAAAAGATTTCACTAGAACTTGAGCTGGTTACAATGGGCTGACTCGTCTCTAAGGACGATCAGATTACAAGTAGCAATTGTACAATAAAAATTCGGGTGTCAAGAGATGATCTGATAGAGCTTCGGGCCTCAGAGGATGGTCTGCCAGAAATTCGTGTTGCAAATCTATTTTTTCATGGCTTAGGTTTTGATGATTGACAAACACTACTTCTCTTGGACTACTTGTTGCTTCTAACTTTTCAGGAATCGAAGACCGGTTCTCTGCCAGCTTCAGGAGGAAGCAAAAGGAGGTGGTTCTCTGCCTTGCCTGGGTGGCAAAAAGGAGTTTCTTGTGAGGGCTTCTCCGCCTAGCTGTGGGGGCTAAAGGAGAGTCACGTTTTGTAGTGCAATACTTGGAGGGTGCCTCCAAGGAGTGGACGTAGGTCGAGTCGACCGAACCACTATAAATTTCTGTGTTCTTTTGTTGCTTCCGCACTTTTAAATTCCGCATTTATTTTTGTGGTGTGATTTGGTTTGTGATTTTCTTTCTTTGTCTTAAGAATTTTTTAAATACCAATTCACCCCCCTCTTGGTTAGCTTGGGACTAAGTTCATAGGGCTTAACATCCCGAACGAACTTTCAATTCGGGCCTTAGATGAGGACATGGCGAAGATGAGGGCCTCGGGTGGAGGTCTAACGAAGGTGAGGGGTTCTGACGGCGTTCTGACAAAAGTGAAGGCCTTAAGTGGTGGTCCGGCGGAACAACGACGTTAGATGGTGGTTCGGCGGAGCACAGGGCGTCAGGCGGTGGCCCGGCGGAGCACAGGGCATCAGATGGTGGACTGGTGGAGCAACGACGTTAAGCAGTGGTTCGGTGAAGCACAGGGTGTCAGGTGGTGGTCCGGCAGAGCGACGACGTTCAGAGGTGTTCCGACGGAGCACAGGGCGTCAGGTAGTGGTCTGGCGGAGCGACTGCGTTCAGAGGTGGTCCGACGGAGCACAGGGCGTCAGGTGGTGGTCCGATAGAGCAACGACGTTAGGCGGTGGTCCGGCGGACGTCCGGCATTGGTGGAGAAACGGTGGTTCGTCGGAACTCCGTCGGTGGTCCGACGAAACACCGGTGGTGGTCCGGCGAAACTCTAGCGGTGGTTGAGGAGGCTAGGAAGCAAGAGCGATTTCTGATCTCTCTCTTTTTTCCTTAGGCTCAGGGGTGCTCTTTCAAGAGGAGAGGGAGCTCTATTTATAGATTTTGGGAATGACATGTCCCGAAATAGGTGGAGGATCAAGGGTAAGTTGGGAGTGGTTGAATGGACGGTCGATCTTGAATCCCTTGATCATGAACCGTTCGATGGATATTTGAATGTCGTAGTGATGTCAGAATTAGTGATCTTGGGCTCGTTGGATTTGTCTTGTCGAGCCGTTTGGTAATCCAAGTTGTGGTTTGAACCTTCCAACAATGCTTCGGTTCCTTGATTTGGACCCATTTGGGCTCGGATTGGGTCGAAGTTGGTGTCGTTGGGTTCGTATTTTCGAGACGCTCAGTTCAACTGTAAAGTTGCTTAAATCGGAGTTCAGATGCTCCTAATTTTAATTTCAGAAGTTTCCAACTTGATTTTTCTTTGAGATTCGTGCCCGATCAAGATAATTTTCGGATGATTTATCAACATGGAGTATTTGCAACATTGTATTGTTGTATAAGAGTTCTACTGAACTCCTGAGAGAATTTATGGGCACTAGAGAGGACTGATGCTGATGCGTTCTTTGAATACATTCTAAGAGGACTTTCTTAATAGCATTAGTTATTGAAATATCTTATTACTACAAGAAAAATATTTGATCACCAACAAAGTTTTACAGTGGACACCACTATAAGCTAATAATGTATTATCAAACTCACTATTTTTGCATATTCATGTTTCATATATTTATTATTTCAGTCATTTGTAAATTCGTTCCAATAACAATCAAATTTAAAGTATGAGCGTATGTGTGTTTATGTAGTATTATCATGTAAATGCACATAAAGTATGAGAGACTAAACACTAATCTCTAATATATTGAACTTGCTGCTAAAACAAATAATCTTTTTAAAACTATCTTTAAAAGAAAAGCACCGAAAGGAAGAGCAAATACATGTTGAATTAGTCAAGCTATAACTATCCCTTCTTGTGATAGCATCTCACTCGCCCTAATCTTTTCATGCTGATCTCAAAGCTTCCACACATGTTGTTGATCAAATCAATTAACTTGCCATATGTTGAACCACTTTTTATTTGAGTACTCGCTTGCATACTCATCCACATCTACTTGGCATCATAGAGCTTGCCTAGAGATAACTCGTGAAAGGGTTCTTATCATGTCCTTTTTCAGCTAGTTAGGAGGCGACACATGTCTAGGATATTATGTTGCGTTGCAAATTTGACTTTTTTCTTGATTAAATTTTAATGTAGCAGTCAAACCCTTTTAATTAGGGGTAAATATGAATAGCTTGGAGATATTTTTTAAGAATTTTTAAAAAGGACTTTCTCGATCTTTTTAAATTGATAGTGAAAACTTTGCCAATTTTAATGTTCACATTCTCTATATTTCCTCTCTACCCTCTCCCTCTCTCCTTTTCTCCGTTATCTCGAGGGTTCTCAAGTCACTCACCCACCCTTTCATTTCGACATGCTAGTAAGGTCAGGCATCCTCCACAGATAAAATTTGATCCAATTGAAGGCGAATGTAAATAAAGTGGCTATGACTTTATACTTTGGATATGAAGGGGCTAGAGTAAAGACAAATGCATATAGTACAAGGGATGGATATAACGAGATGTAGATGACAATGTCATTAGTAAGAGACTAAGGCGAAGGCAATGAGTGTTTCATCTAAAGGCATAGATACATGTGAAATTTTATGGCAGTCAAAATCGGGTCACGGGGTTGGGTTTGGGTCAAACCCGAAACTGACCCGGTACTGCTTGGGTCAACCTGAACCCGACCCGTTTTCACAAACATGTCAATTTTTCGGACCCAACTCGCATATTTTACTCCTTAGACGATGTTCCATTCCAGTCAGAATCAAATGTTGCAACATTTTGATCGGAAGCAACGATAGGAGTTCGCTCACTGTGAAGGTAACTTTCTCCATTTCGTGCGCTTCTCCGTAGCTCTTCGACTTTGCTCATTGGATGACGTTACCTTCCAGTCGAAACAGAAGTTACAACATTTTGATCAGAAGCAACGACGGGAGTTTGCTTGCTGTGAAGGTAACTTTCTCCCTTTCAGGCGCTTCTTTGTAGTTGTTCGGGTTCGCTCCTTGGATCATGTTCCCTTCCAGTCGGTTCGGAAGTCGAAACATTTTGATCAGAATCAACGACGGGAGTTCGCTCGATGTGAAAGTAACTTTCTCCCTTTCGTTCGCTTCATCGTACATGTTCGATTTCACTCCTTGGACAACATTCACTTCCAGTTAGATCAGAAGGTACAAAAATTTGATCGGAAGCAACGACGGGAGTTCGCTCATTGTGAATGTAACTTTATCCCTTTCGTGCTCTTCTTCGTATCTGTTTGACTTCGCTGCTTGGACGGCGTTCCCTTCCAGTTGAATCAAAAGTTACAACATTTTTATCGGAAGCAATGAAGTTAGTTAGCAATTAAATATTAGATATATATTCAAATAAATAAGAATTTATTATCATGTGACCCAAAATAAATAAAATTTAGAAACATCTACTTATAGTAAAATCTGGTTTAAAATTGCAGGCAGCGTGGGTCGGTCACACCTCACCGGTCGGTGAGAACATCCATCGATCGAATCGCTCGGATTGAACGGAGGCAAAATATCTCACAAATCGAACGCTTCCTACGCCAGCAAAGTGCCCTAAACTTTGTTCAGATTCCTATAAATCGAACGCTAGACAGGTCGGCTGGCAGCAAACTCCTCAAAACCCTAGCTTTTCTGCTGCTAGGGTTTTTGTGTGTTTTTAACACGAGCGTTCTTCTTCTTAAACCTCTTCGCGCAATACATCCTTTGCGGCGGCGCTTAATTCCGTCTTCCTTGATCTCGACACCTTGTACCTTGTAAGTTTATTGTCCTCATCGCGTGGAACTTTTGCTCGTGTTTTCTTCTCATAACCATCGATGTTCTTCCTGGATCCTGCTACATCCGTGATTACTTAATCAATATTGTCATGAAACTCAGTGCGCTTTGCATGATTCTTAGGATGATGATTGTTTTTTGTAGCACAGAAAGCCGAGTTCTTTTTTCATTTACTACAAATAAGGCTTTTCTTTTTTCGTCAATTGTTCAAGTTCTTGACGGACCACCCCAATACTGGTTTTATCTATTTCTGTATTAATTAGTTCAAAGCCAAATTGTGCATTAGATTTTCAGGGCTTGGTATTAATTATTTTGTTACTCCTCCCTTTAGAAGAGAAGAAAGGTATTTTCAATATTGTTTCTTACTCTAATGTTTCTGCATCTTATGATTAGCGCTAAAATGGGTAAATCAAGCAAGAAGTCTGCTGTAGAGGTGAGGGCATCGGTTTTAGTTAATTTTTTTTTTGGTTTGTTCATTTTGTTCTGTTTTTCCGACATTGTTCTTTAATGCAGGTTACTCCTGCTGCTGTCTCCGTCCCTCCTTCCAAGTCGGCCAAAAAAGGTTTGATTCCTCTGATATTTTTTCATTATTATGTTATGGACCTTTGATAGTTTTCATTGTGACGTACTTGCGATTCTTCAAGATACTTTGTTCATGAGTTCAGGAAAGAGGGATGCAGAAGCAGTGTTGGAGAAACCTGTGAGTGCCAAAAAGCAGAAGAAAGTAGTAGTGGAAGTTCAAACAAAGCAGATTGCTGATAAAAAGTCAAAGAAGGTTCCCCCACCAAAGAAAACTGAAACCAGCACCTCAGAGGACACATCAGATTCTGAAGAGGAGGTATTTCTTGTGTTGACAGCTTTTAATCACCTTATGTTGTTCTAAAATTGACTCATATCCAGCACTATTTTTAAATTGTTTTTTAATGCTTCTGTTTAAATTCTTTGGTTTACTTGCTTGTAGACTTATTTTAATTTTATTGTGCGAGTATAAGGAAGCTGTTAACATTTTAGTGCTTTAGTATGCCCTAATCTCATCTGTAGTTTGAGTATTTTCAATTTAACTTGTATATAAAGGCACAGCTAGAACTAGCAATGTTTTACAGTATAGTTTCATAATCTATTTTTTTATTGATTAAAATTAGGGTGACTTAGTTCAAGCGGTCCTCACCAAAGTAGGATTTATAAGGTTTTGATGTACTCTGTCTTATCCTTGCATTGTGGAGAACCTGTTTTTCCTAATTCTAACTTATGGTCTTCAATTCATGGAGAAAACTAACCAGTCTCCAAGCCTGTCCTCTAAATGATGGGTTGTGAATTTAGAAGTTCATTGACCTCTTTTTTGCATGGTATGTGTCTGGTTTTTGCATGCATGCAATTTTTCTTATTGATCCTGTGGTATGATTCTGTTATGGATAAATACAATTGATGAGATGATAATACAAATTATGCATTCATGTGATTTGTATTTGCAACTTTTTGTTTATCAAATTGTGATCATGTGCAGAATTCTGATGTAAAGTCCATCATAGCATGCTCTATTTTCCTTTGTCATACACTAATTGTTTATTTTAATTTCAGGTCAAAGTTGCACCAAAAAAGGGTGGCAAGCCAGTACAGAAACCAATAAAGGATTCCAGTAGCAGTGAAGAAGAGTCATCATCTGATGAAGTAGGTCCAAATGATTTTCCAAGTCATAATTTCCAACATTTGTTATATAATATTTGCTTGTGTTTTTTTTTTAACGTTCATTCTAAATCTGGATATTTATAGTATATTTATTGATGCATTACCATAATTGTTAACAGTTTTTTTAGCAATTTTCAAACTCATTGAAATTAACTTTTTATTAGGAATTACATTGCCATGCATTTCATTATTGCTCACATCAGTGTGATGGTTAGGGTCTCTTTTGTGTCTTTTATGTATTTTTTTTTCTGTTTTAATTCAAAATATGTATATATTCTATTATATTTGTTGGTGTATTTCCATTGTTTTTAATGGTTTTTTAGCAATTTCTGAACTCAATGGAATTAACTTTTTATTGGGAATTACATTGCGATGCATTTTATCACCGGCAAGCTGAAATAATTTTGCTGAAGCCATATTTGTTGTAAATTGATATAACAATTCATATTTTTCACTAAGATAAATAGTGTAGTTCCAGTACGTGAGCATGGTAAAATTGCTTTAATCTGAGGCACATTGACTGATTCTGGCCTTTACTTGGAGAGCACGTCTACAATGTAGCTACACCATTTTAAACTAGCGCTAATTAGTAAAGCAGAGTGAAACATAGCCAAACAAAAATCTTGTACCTGCCACTCTAAATGCATCTGATTAGGTCATCTTTTCTTTTAATTTTAAACTCCCTTTAGTTCATGGAAAGGAAATATGATGATTCTTTGGATAATGCAAAATATGAAATGATGGGATGCATATTTATTCATTTCTTTCATTAGTTCACTTGGCACTCCTTTAAGAAAAATTCAATGGTGCCCTCGTTTATTTAGGGCGTTATGAGCTTTACTTTTTCAAAGTAAGCCCTCATTCTTAAAGATTTGATTATCTGATTAGATAGCTTAAATTGTGATCTAGATTCAACTTTTCATCAAACTATGATTGTATTATGATATGAAATTAACTTTGAAAATGTTGTTGAATGCTGTGAAACTGGTAAGATTTTATATTCTCCATGCTTTTAAAAAGGGTATGCAATGATCTAGAATTTCCCTTGAGATCAAATGCAAGAAACTTTCAAGATAGATGCAAGAGGGAGTAGCTCCTTTGTAGGGAATTTAGAGAATGGCTGCTTGTTTCCCTCACTTCTTTGTAGGGAATTTAGTGAATTGAATCACTGATAGATGCCTAAAAAGAGATCAAGCAGCAGCAAACTAAGGATTCTGAGTTTTTGGGGTTTTTGCTGCTACAATTTTAACGTTAATATATTCAATATTTTCTGCAAGTTATATAGAGCACCAGCTCTTCAAATCTGAAAGGCATGTGTTTAATTAACAATTCTACCTTTATTTATCATACATTTATCATCATTTGATCTTTTGGATTAGTTTTATGTTTGTTGGAGGAAATAAAAGATGTGCTTTTATTCATAGGAGGGTCTCCTATTTATAATTGGAGAAAGAATAGTGTCTCAAAGGACCACCAAATAAGGACTGCTAGCCATAATAAGACATCTTTCCTAATATAATAAATATTAAAGTAAGGCTACCCTTCAAGTTGGAGCTCTTCAGCTTTTTACACATTTTTAAAAACCGAAAAGGATTCAAAGGTTTGAAGACTCAAAACTGGAGAATTTATGTTAAGTTTAAGTCGTGAGCATGCACATCAATTTAACACTTTCATGGTTTTATGATTCATTATGTTTTTAACATTCTATATCTATAATTTCATCAATTTTGTTAAACGTTTTTCTTCTGTCTCTGAACTTTGAGACTGTTTATTAATATTTGATTGTAAAATATTGATATTTCTTCCAGGAAGTCAAACCTACAAATTTGTCTAAAAAGTTGCCTGCTGCGGGAGTTAAGAATGGCATTGCTCTTGCTTCGAAAAAGAAAGAGGACTCTAGTGATGAAGATTCTGACAGCAGTTCTGATGAGGAGAATGTTAGTGCCTAATTATTTTGTTATCAGGCTATATTGCTTGCTGATTTATTTACAATGTTGTATGCAGAAGTCTGTTGCTCCTTCAAAGAAGCAACCTTTAGCTGTTAAAAGTGTTAGCTCTGACAGTGATTCTGATGAAGATGAGGTCAATTTGTTCAGAGTTTCAAAATTAATTCCTTCGAAATTGTCTCAATGTTTTTGAATGACCCTAATCGTCTATTGTAACCTTATCTGAAGCTTGGATTGATTGGTGCAGGGAAATGGACAAAAAATTGGTATTGTCAAGAAAGCTCTTCCAGCACAAAATAATGGAGTTACCGAAGACTCTTCCAGTGAAACTTCAGAGAGTGAATCTGATGATGAGGTAAAAGTCATCATAGATTGAAGCAATTGGTTTTGAAAAGTTAATCCATGCATCATTAACTGAAAATGAGACTTTCACAATTTTTTTTTAACTTTAATGTTATACAGAAGGTGAAAGCTAAGGCAACATCAATTGTCAAAAAACCACCTTCAAAAGTTACAGCAAATGCATCAAATAAGAAAGAAGAGTCCAGTGAAAGCTCTGATAGTGACTCGGATGATGAGGTTAGTTGACTGTTTGAATTGAGAAATTTTTTTGTCTGGTATTGCATGCCCTGCTCTGTCTGGCTGATTATGAAAACATCTGCTGTTCTTTTTGTAGGATGATGCTCCCAAAATTTCTGTTACCACAAAGAGTGCTCCAGCTGCTTTGAAGGTTGCTGTAACCACTGAATCTAAAAAGAAAGATGAGTCTAGTGACAGCTCAGAGAGTGATTCTGACTCTGATGAGGACATGGTAGATCCTTGTTTAATGAATTTCAGGCATCTCATAGTTTACTATCGTAGAATGTAATGAGCTAGTTATGTAGGCGTTTTATAAATTATGGCTCCTAGTTTTCTGAAGCCATCACTATACATATTCTCAGCCAGGTTCACCTGTCTTAGTCGATTCATTTCCATGAATGATTGTTCTTGGAATGGTTTACAATCAGGAGTATGCCTGTCAATAGTTTGATGTGTTGCTTAAAGAATGTGTTTCTTCATTTCGTTTATTTGCTAAATACATTGACACTGCAATAAATTGTGACTTAGGTTACCGTCCTCTTCCTTAGTTTTTGCAGGTTTTTAAAAACATTTTATTCTCTTTTTTTTTTCTGTATAAGAAGGCTAAGTTTTGTATTTTTTTTTCTGAGAGTATCACTTGATTGTTAATTCCTTGAATACTCAGCACCTAAAATCTGTGCTTTCTCATACAAATAAAAGATCTCTAATGTCTTCCAATATGATATCATCACCGAAATGTTAGTATATTGCCATTAATTTAGATCTTCAACATGGTACTTTCAATGGATAGTTTGTTATTTAATTTTTTCTTAAGAAACACAAACACAAACATATTTGTGGGTGGTTTTCAATGTGTTTGCTTGCATACACTTATTTTACATTTGCAAGTTTTTCCTGGCAATTTATTTGAAAACTGTTCAAGTCATTGCACGTTTTTTGGGGAATATTTTTGGTTGCTGCTTGGTTATGCTTATTTTTTGCATAATTAACGTAGACTTAGAAATGATGACATAGCTTCTTGCTTTTGTTTACTGTAATCTTGAAGTTCTGAAGTCATACATGTGGTGTAATCAGTTAGATATTGTCTCTCTGAGTATAAGAATAGTCTTACATTTTTACATAATTTACACAATAAGATTGTTTTTGATAGACAGTATTAAATAGATGATATATCGAATAAAATAATGATAATAAATTTTCAGAAAGCTCTGTATTTAAGTGGCATGCTCTGTCATCCTAGGTTGAACTTGAACAAGGATGCATTTTTTAAAGTTTTGTATTTTAGTTCTATGATGGATATCATAAGATTTTATATAAATTCATCTTGCTAGATGGTCCACTTTTTCTCAAGGAAATTATCTGTTTCTATGCAGGTTCCTGCAGCCATCCCTCTTAAAAAGCCTGAAGCCATAGAAACGGTAAATTGTTATCGTTTATGTGCATTAATTATTTGATTTTTGTTATTGTCATGCATATTCATATTTATTTTCTTGGGCTTGCATACCAGCATGTCGTATAAAGTTCTTTTCTTTTTGATTACTTAGCTTCTCATTGTTACTCCTGTTCTTTTTAATGGCACTAGTCATGTTAGATCATTTTTTTTTCTTCCTTTTACTGGTTATTGGTCCAAGTCTGAAGGAATCAAGTAACAAACTTTGTTGGGTTGATTATCAATGCAGTCATTCAAGAGTTTTAAATAGAGCAAAATATAAACAATACATCAATGGAAAACAGAGGTTTAAACAATCACTGCATAAGTGCTCGAGGAGTTTTCTTATTACTCTTAGGGTCATGGTTACAACTTACAAGAATACAATTGATGAAATACTGCTTGGAAGCAGCCAAGTGGGTCTATGGCGCTTGCGTTAATGTTCCTTTTGGCATTAGGAAATACTACTTGTTGAAGGGAATTCCATTTCAAATAATTTCTTAATTTATAACGAGTAAAAATTTTCTTTCCTAAGATCAGAATTGGCACAAGTGAACATGGATTTGAACGGCTACCTTGCATTTGTTGAATTAAAATTATGGTTGATATGAGGAGTTGTAACTTGCTGATGAGATTACAGGCCAAAAGATGAAACAATAAATCCTAGAAATACCACTTTGATTTGTAAAAAGAAATACTTTTTCTTTGTTTATGTCTGTCTTTGTCTTTGATATCTTCTTGTTTTGAATCCCCTCTCTCTCTCTCTCTCTCTCTCTCTCTGAGCCTTATTGGCTGAAAAGGTGAAATCTATGTAGGGTTCAACAATCTCTCTAGGTAAATTGTTGCTCAGGCGAAGCATGCTTGTTGGGTGAGGATAAATGTTGATGATCGAGCAAATACTAAAGGGATAATTGAAGAGGACCTTGTAAATTTGCTTGGGAAACCATGTAGTTAAGAGAAAATGATTTGATCTCCGTTCTAGCAGTCTTTGTTAGATTAGGAATTTTTTTGAATGTTATTACAGCGAAAATCACTTGGGAGAAAAACTACCAAGAAGATTGGTGCCTCTTGAACATTTTTTTCCTTGAAGAGAAGGCGGAAGAGATAACCCCAATGAAAATTCTTCATGGAATGTTTCAAGGAAAAAATAAAAGATGTAATTGATGTTGAGTTATTCAAGTACTATTTGTTGAAAATACTTATGCTGACAACAATAATGTTTCATTTCACTAAGAATGAAGATGAACAACATATTGATATCACAAGTGCAGCCAATTCTTCTAGTGATTTGTTGGGATTTGAAGATTCTCCTATAGAATATGTGGATGATGCTGATATTACTCTTGTCAACAATGTAGAAGAACATGTTGTGACTTAAAATGCTAAGAACTTGTTGACATAGATTTGGATGTTGAACCATTAATTGTCTGCAATAGTTTGGAGTACTTGGGCTTCTTGAGTCATGACGTTTTGAAGAACCTGAGTATTAGATATATAACATTCTGGTTGAAGAGCCAATTTACTCCCTTAAGGGTTTGGATTGCAACTTGAATGCTCTGACTTCAGAGTTATCTTCATTGAGGGGTTTCCACAATGTTGTGTAGGGTATGACGTTTGAGAAAAATTAGAAAATGATGGGATTTTTCTATAACGCAGCAACTCACTCATTCAATCATTTCATTCAGCTTGCAGATTTAATCATTCAAGCTGATTGTTAACAATGAATCTATTTTCCCCATCTATTTGTTTGAGTGGACAGAACATAATTTGAAATTTGACTCCTAAGAGACTTATCAACAACAAGCATGGGGGAACAAGAAAGTAGACATGGAGTAAGATAATTGATGTGATGTGATTGATCTGCAAATATCATCGATTAAAACATAGTTTCTGATCCATAATCAAAATCATCTGTTCAGAAATTTTAAAGTTTGATGCATGGACAAGAATGTTTTACTGCATCAAGCAATTTTGATCTAACCTTATTCTATCAACCTGTTGCAAATTCCTTGGATTATTCTCTTTCCATGTCATGAATTGACAGCTAGCTCTCCAGACAACTTTATATAGCTTATTCTTGATGCTATTGTAGATGTGAAATTATGTCCGCAGTAGATTCTATAGATATTTACTGATCTAGCATGGCACTTGTTTGTGATGGCACTGATGGATTACTTTTTATGGAGCACAAAAGTTTATGCTAATTTTCTTGATGAGTCTCAAATTGTAAATCTGCTACAGCCAAATTTGTTGGAGCCCAACAAGTTTGATGAAGATCTGTGTTTAAATTTAGCTGAAACTTTGATAAAACATTTGATTTGAGCTTAATTTCTTTTAGACTTTTTTAATTTCAGTTATTTTTTGACATGTTTATGATGAACCTCTTATAGAAAGTGACATTATATAGTTATTGGATTAGTTGAGTTTGCTCATAGGATGGAATTTTTGGTTATTGATAAAGCTCAAGTCAGGAACTTGGCACTTATTTTGTTTAATTGGGTTTTGACTCGTTAATGCTGCTTGGGAAGAATCTTTATATGGATTTTGATTACTAATTCGCTAGTGGGCTTTATTAAAAATTTGGATCTATTGTTTTGTCTACTTAGCTTCCTTCAAGATAGAATTTCTGTCATCGTATTTATCTTATTATTCAGTCCATTCTTACTTGCACACTGCTATATATCGTGCTTGTTTGTCATTTCCAACTTCCTTTGTGTGATTCCATTGTACTTGCTCAGGAATTTTGTGATTTAGTATTATTTGCTTTCACCAAGCAGTAATATGATAGATGTTGAAAAATCTATAAATTACTTACGGGTTGCAATTTTTTTACTTTTATTGAATAAACTTTTTTCTTTCCTTTTTAAAATTTATATTGTTGTTGTGTATGGGTTTCTTTTGAGTGTGGTGCAATTGCAATTAGCAACCTCCCTTGGAAGTTGTCCTCTTGTATTGGTGTGAGACCTATATAATATTAATTTTGTTATTTTCTTTCTTTTTGTCTTTTTCCTTTGTTGTAGCTTTTGATTTTTATCAAAGTAGATACTAATGAAATTTTATTTGTACAATAATTCAATTTATTACTTATTTTTAAAGTTTCTTATTTTGTGTTGATTTTTTTGGATTTAATCAAATTCAATCATTACATTAGGTTCAAATTCTTGTATTTTTTGATCTGCAAGTGAAGAATGTGAACTTTTTAATTCTCTTTGTTATTTTACATTCATAGCATTATCCTAATTACATTAGGAGGTTTAGAGCCCTCCATCCCTTGCCTTGAATCAGAGAGCCTGCTGCTTCTGGCCTGCTTTGTAACAGCTGCAGAGCCGCTTGGATCAGCTAATGCTCCTCGGTAGATGATTGGTATTTATTGTTTGCATCTTGGCATTTTGACTTATCTCGGCATGAGAAGGCCTTGATTGATGTTGTAATGGTGGTATTTGAACATGAAAATGTCATTTGCTTAGTTTTCATTCTAGTTGGTCTTCTTATGCATGTTTTTCAAGTTATTTTTGTTTGTTTTGATTTTAATGCTCTTGCTTGTAATTTAGCACCAATATTCCACTATATTTATTAGCTTTTGTCTGCTATAGAAAAGTTCAATTTTTTTATTGATTTGTTGGTTCTGTTTATTGTTTCAGAAACCACAAAGCAAGGCCAAGGCGGAAGAGAGTTCTGAAGATAGTTCGGATGAGAGCTCTAGTGAGAGTGATGAGGAACCTCAGAAAAAGAAACTGAAAGTACCTGTATGCCTTTTAATGAGTTCCTGAATTTATCATTTAAATTGGTGGACAAACTTGCCTAATGTTTCCGGCTAATATCATTGTTATAGGAAACTACTGGATTGAATGCTAGCAAGCCTACCATGATTAGTGCTGAAAAGGAGAGCAGCAGCAGTGAAGATGAGGATGACAGTTCTGAAGAAAGTTCTGACGAGGAGACTCCAAAAGTACAACAAAACACGGTAGGCAAAATAAACCATGCTTTTTGCTTGTTCTTTCAGAATACCAACATAATGTTTTTTTTGCTTTGGAGTGTTTTTTAAATGTCTTATTACTATGAATTTTATTGTGTTTTGACATACTCGCTAGCCAACTAAACAACCAAAAAAGAGTAGTAGTTCTGATGAGGAGTCCTCAGATGAAAGTGAAGACGAGCAGCCAGTAAAGACACCTGCAAAGAAAGTATGCTTTCATCTTCTCCCCATTTTTTCTCTCCTTGCAAAAACTAAAGTTCATACTATGGAGACCAATTGAAGTTGTTTTAAACTTTTCAGAGAAGGTTTTTTATGCATTTCCCTGCTGTTTAACGACCATTGAAAATAGTTATTTTTCTAATTAAATGGTTATTAATGGTTATTTTCATTGATGATGTGAATAAAATTTCCAGGAGACTGACTTGAAGAGGAAGGCTGCACCTGTAGATCAAACGGTTAAAAAAGTTGATAAGAGAGTGGTATTTTATTGTTTAGTTTATTTCTTTTATTACTGGTTGTTTTAAAATTAGAGATTTAATGTTATTTTAATTCAGGAAAAAACCCCTGTGGGTAATCAAGGTGTATCATCTGGATCAAAGACACTTTTTGTTGGAAACTTGTCATTTGACGTTGGAGAGGATGACATGTGTGTACCTCTACTCTTGTTCTTTGTTGATTTTTTTCCTCGAGGTTTTATTCTAATAATTTTCCTTGTTTCTCTCATTTAGAGTTGAGTTCTTCAAAGAGGCAGGGGAAGTTCCTGATGTTCGGTTATCTAGATTTGATGATGGTCATTTCAAGGGGTTTGGGCATGTAGAATTTGCCACCGCAGAAGCAGCTCAAAAGGTTACTTGGTTATTTAAAAAAAAGTCTACTTCTTATTTTTGTTATCTAATGCTTGCTTATTCATGTTTAAATATATTTACTCTCAGCTTCCTGCAGATCACAGCTTTAAACTGATTTTATGCCCTCGTTTTGATAGGCATTGAATGATTTAAATGGGCAAGAACTTTTGGGTCGTCCAGTAAGACTTGATTTGGCACGCGAACGTGCTGAACGCAGCGCATATACTCCGAACAGCGGGTATTATTGTCTTTCTCTCAACTAAGAAACTACTATGTTTTTTATTTGTGAAAATTTTCTATCATAGCAACTTGAATAAATTTAATTCCTTGCAGTCTCTTTTAATGCTTATTTTGAATTGAGTCAAGCAATATTAAATTAAATTGTCCAGTTAAGTCGCGTATTGTGCTCTGAGATGACTCCATTGTAATTTAGAATTTGGTTCCAATTAGTCTGACGGGAATTGTTATGTGGATGATAGGGCTGATATCAATTTGAGTTCTAACGAGTTTTGGTTAACTTCAAATCGAAATTTATTAGAAGAACTCCACTCCAAATTATTGTGTGCTAACGCTAAAAATGAAGTTAATTGATTTTTAGTTAACCCTTTTGAGTTGACTTGATTATAAAATTAGGGCTCAAAGTTTGATTAAAAAATAAAGCGCTGAAGACATTTGAAAGAAAATTCAAATGCAAAGTTATAAATCATAATTGCTTGTTATAAAAGAAAATTATCAAATGAATGAATAACAGATGATATACGTAATACATGTTACAGAGTAACAAATGATCATAAAAAAACTTGCAATAACAATTTCAACAATACGTAATACATGAAGATAGTTGTGATGCTCAAAGGCTATATCATCCTTTAGCTGTTATGCAAAGTATTACAAACAAAGTCTAGTTAGCAGCCACCTCAATAACTTCAAACGGGGGTTTTTAGAACAGCGAAGATGTTAATGATAAAAAAAAAGGAGAAATGTTAGATACTAGATAACCATAATCTAATATTGAGTTGCTCAATTCAGAATGCTAACAGAGACTAAATGTTGTCATCCCTACTAACTTAACTCTGACATATTTAGATGTTTAAGTTGTCAAATTCTAAAAAGATTTTGTAAACTTGCCACCTGAGTTTTGAAAATTTAGCATGGAAAAATCTTGATATTAAATTATCTGAAAGATCAAAGTTGGAGACTAACTATATTTTCATGAAAATCAAAACTTTTGCCCTCGAACTTTTAAGCAATCAGCTAAAAAGATTGTGATTTAGGCCAATCCTTAAGAGAACTAGAGTTAACATTAAGTATGTCGCCTGTGATTTGGATAAATCCTTAAGAAAATAAGAGTTAACATCAAGTATGGCGTCTATTTCAGGTGTTCGGCAATGGCAATAAGCCAAGTAGCCATTCCATATATTTTATATTAAAAACCAGCAAGTTTTCAAGGTGCCTCAAATATTAACCTAGTCAATGCATCAGTCAGGGCGGAACTACACTCTCAAAGAGAGTGAGTAAAATATAATTATGAAATGTATAATATTATCTATGAAATAGAAAATGAAAATTGTTCTTAAAATTGGACAACTGTATTTTTTGAAAATGTGAAAAATAGTTAAAATTTTTATTTTTCTAAAAAAAATGATGGGCAATTGCCCAGCCTTAGCTCTTTTTGGTTTCACCGTTGGCATCAGTCATCAATATAGGATGTGATTAACATCTCAAGATTGTAAGAATGTAAGATCAATAATATTAAATAAATAATTAATCAATGAAATTGATTTTGTACAATTAAATATGTGAACATGTAAATCATAACCAAGGCATAGCAGTATCTACATTTAAGTATGTGAACTTTGTATATAAATGAATGAAAATTGATTTTATTTGAAAAATTATTATGTTGCAATCTATGTCTTGTTTTTCGGGTGAGCTGTGTGTGTGTATTTTTGCTGGCCATGCAAAGTCGCTTGCAACATTGGAACATTATATCCTTTCAAACATATGGGTAGAACACCCTTATGAAGTATGTCTCATTCAAGATTAATGAAACTTGATGGCTGTCTTTGAAGTTAATGTTCAAAAAACATTTGAAGCACCCTTTTTCTCCTAGCAGTTGTAACATGTGCAATTCTTTGTTTTAATTTATATCATTAAGGATTTGGTTCTCTGAAACTGAGAACGACGTGCCGCCTTGCTATTAGGTTTTGTGTCACTGATAATTATGCTATTTATTTATATTTCGTGATGGAAAATAGGTCTTTCCAGAAGGCTGAAAAAGGTTCGAGTCTTACCATATTTGTAAGAGGTTTTGACAAGTCACTCGAGATGGATCAGGTAAATTTACTCTCGTTTTATGTTTCTACATTTTCCTTTGCTTGCTTAAAAAATCATTTTGGAGCTGAGTGTTAACTTTGAATGCAGATTCAAAGTTCCCTTGAAGAGTATTTTGGTTCTTGTGGAGAGATAACACGAATTTCACTGCCTAGAGATTATGAATCAGGAGGTTCTAAAGGGTCAGTTCTTTTTTATGCAAAAAGTTTATTGTTAACTTGTTTAATTGTTTTTTCTCGTTTGGTCATAATAATATCGATTGTATTCTTGAGAGAGTTCTTTTTCATTTTGTTGTGTCACTATTAGAAGTAAATGACAGCTGCTTTTGTTTGCAGTATTGGATACCTTGATTTCGGAACCGAGGAGGCTTTCTCAAAGGCCCTGGAGCTTTCTGGCTCGGAACTTGGAGGTTACACACTGACGGTGGAGGAAGCTAAACCGAGAGGTGATGGAGGTAGTGGCGGCGGCCGAGGCGGTGGCAGAGATGGTGGTGGTTGGAGTGGTGGTCGAAGTGGTGGCCGTCGTGGTGGTCGTGGTGGCAGAGATGGTGGTGGTTGGGGTGGAGGTCGTGGCGGCGGCAGAGGACGTGATGGTGGTGGGCGCCGTGGCAGAGGCAATGGCAGGGGCGGTGGAGGTCGTTTTGGCTCCGGCACATCCAGCCAAGGTTATATGCATTTTTGATTGATGATCACAGGAATTATTGGGTTCAGACACCGGGCACAGTTTACCGTTCGGTACTTCATGTACCGAGTAATACTGAGCTCGGTACTTCACAGTACTGAGCATTGCTAAGTACTGAGTAGGAGGTGATGTGGCGCATTTTCATTAAGCTCTGGACGACGTCTAGTGTCCGAATCCAATAATTTCCCATCATGCCTACAGTTAGACTGAATGGCGGAAAATTTCTTTTTCTTTGGTAGAATTTTCTTTTTTGATGGTGCTAAAAACACAAATTATTATGATTATTTTGCAGGGAAGAGAACTACCTTCGGTGAAGACTAGATGAGTTTCAACTTCCTATTGCATCTGCAGATCTAGCTGCTTCTGACACTGAAGGCGTCTTTTATCAATTTCTGTAGCTTGTTAAAGTCACCGTATGGCTGCCCAATTTTGCAAAGTCAATTTTGACTGCGATATGTTGCAACTTTTGTTACCTTTATATTTTATATTATTTATTTGATTTCCTGGAGAACATTGAATTCAAGTTTAATCGAAGTAATTTGCGTGCCGAAGTATTTATGTATTATTGTTAGTTTAATATTGGTGTTCTGATTGACATGACTAAACATCAGTAGTAAGTTGCAACCAATGGATCTATTGGGTTCATGAAAGCTTTTAGTTTGATAGTCATACATGTTTTTATTCTGTTTTTCAATATATGACAAGGAAATGAGTAGTACTATTGAAGTGGTTGTATTACTTTTTCAATATAATCATGTATAAGGCTACTTATGAGATAATTTTTTGTCATATTTTTTTAACAAGAGAATTATTTCAAATGAAGCTTAATTTATTAAATTTTGATATGGGCATTGATGATCGAAATAGATAAAAAAACCCTTAGATTTTCTCAAGGTTGTAGATAGAAAAGATATAGAATCTTTATTTGAATGTATTAACCAATTTTGAAGAAATTCTGTTTATGATAATTGAACATATGTATTTAATATGAATTTTTCTATTTCATTCCTTAAAATTATCATCCCACTCGTCAATTTGGAGGAATAATAACATAAGAAAAAGAATTTTAGCTATTAGTGGACTTTGCTCACCTACACCCATTCATGATGACTTAAGTGCTGCACAATACGTAGTGATGATTGCAGTAGTATAAGTAAGATATATGATGATTAGCAATATAAATCGATTTATCACTCGATTTTTAGTACCAACTTATAAAGTCATGGGCGTACCCATACCCATTGGGTATGAGAGTATGAGTGGATACATGAATGTGTGTGGATATTGATACCCAATACAGGGCTATGTAATGAAGGAACTAAAACAGTCTACATCAAGAAGACAAAAATACGGGAAAAATACATAGTGGAACCGAGAAATTCTTTTAACAAAATCTTTCATTTACAACATTAAGATCAAGAAACTTTGCCTGATTTCAGCATTCTTTTTAAGATCAGTTGGCATCTGCAAGAATGTATCAGCACCGTTTGTAAGAACTCATTTACCACATTAATGTAAAAAAAATGGTACAAGTTTTAACTGTACATTAATTTCCACTCTCAGAATCAAATAATTTTTTGGCAACTGAAATTTCTTCCTTTTCTTCGGAAGAAACAAAATCTAAACCCTCATCCTCCATTTCATCATCATCATCCTCATCATCACTATTGTCACCAATATACAAATATTCGATTGTCCTCCTTTCCAAGTGATGAACCTTATCTTCATTTTCATCAAATGAAGAAAGATCTCCAATTATCTCTGCACCATTACTGTCATCACTTCCCTCATTGATCACAAGCTCATTTGCTTCCTCCTGTTCTTCTGGTGTTTTCGCTAGAGACAAAAGAATGTTCTTTGCTTTCTGGTCAGGAGATAATCCACCTCTCCTCATTTCCTTGAACCAAATAACTGCACTTTCAAAATCTGAGTTCTTACCATATGAATCCATGATGATAGTATATATTGCTTGGTTAGATTCTACACCCTGCATCCTCATTCTCTCATATACACGCATTACCCTTTCAATATTATTTGTCTTTGCATAACCTTTCATCAGGGTCCCATAGACAATAACATTTGGCTTTAAACCATCTTCTTTCAAGCGGCGGAAGAATTTTTCTGCTCCATCCATGTCAGAAGCATTCACATATGCAGAGATCATGGTTGCGTAGGAGCAGAGGTCAGGACTAACTCTGTCAAATAGAGAAATATAGGTTAACAAATAATCAAGGAAAGTTGAATTTTGAAGTGGTCTTACTTGTCCCTTTTCATGCTCTTGAAAACAGTTTTGGCTTCCTTCAACATTCCAGAAATTGCAAATGCATCTAGCAAAACGTTGTATGCTTTTCTTGTTGGCCTGATAGAAGAAAAAATGAATCAGCAGCAGCAGGATATGACTATTCTCTATCTAATTAGAGAGATAAATCTGATTGAGCTGCTACCATTTCTTTTTTATATAATGAGAAAAAACCTCTAAAGGAGGACAAGCAATTTGTCCACAACTTTGTTTGTTATAGTATTAGAGTCAGAGCACTTAATCGTCCCTTTTTTTTGTCCCTCATGCCTGTTTCCCTAAATAGAGATGTCTTTACCTTGAGTTGCTCTTAAAGGATACAAAGATCTTGCAAGCCCAATTTTGGCTCACTCCTCTCGTTGACTTGCCCGTGTTCGGTTTTGGTAGCTTGCTTGCAGTTCTTCGATGTTCCATGCGCATCGAGCCAACAGCACCAAGGAACATGTTGATTCACTGTAGCGCTACACAATCAATCGGCATACTCGCATGCAGAACTCACGTCCACAAATTCAATCGTACTTGTGAACTAGACTCAAGTGCTCTGTTTGCATGACTTCTCTTAGTTCGTCTTTGGCTTTTTTTTTTTTAGTTCATCTTTGGCTTGCTAAATCTAACCAATCTCAATTTATTTTACTGCTTGATTATTTTGTTCTAACAAATTTACTAATTCAAACATTATCACTGACTAAGTCTAATATATCAACTGGTGATTTAGATTTTTTTTTTTGGTGTACAACTGATAAGTAAAACTTACTCTGATTGAAAATTTTGTTATGAGAAAAGAACTATGGTCATCCAAATTCTTATAATTTATCCCATTTAATAAACTCTTATTTATTGGGAAACAAAGGTCAATCCTCTTCTCATCCTTCATTTGAGTGCTCAATGTGCACATAATGGGGGAGGAGTAAAAGCTTTTCTTTTCTATCACATAGTAGTCATGCTGCAAATTATTTTGATATGATTCATAGTGATACATGGGATATCACTCTTATTATATCTCATGCAAATTATAAATATCTTGTAACATTCATTGATGATTACAATAAGTATACTTAGATTTATTTTTTTTGCTAAAATTTGAAGTTTTACAATCTTTCAAAATTTTGCTATTTATTTTTGTAATTCAATTTCATTACATCTATAAGTGTTGAGATCCGACTTTGGGGTGAAGATATATCACTTGAATTTCATGATTTTTTCAAAACAAGGGATTATTTCTCAAAGATCATGTTCTTATATATCTTAACAAAATGATGTGGTTGAATATGAAAATTGTGATCTTTTAAATATTGTTAGAACCTTAATACTAGAATATTCAATTCCACCAAAAGTCAAGGTTGAATCTTTAAACATAGTGGTTTAACAAATTATTATATTATCCTCTTGTATCTTAGAGTTAGACTTTTTTTTTCATCATCTTTTTTAGAAGCATCCTAACGTTGCAAACATTTGCTTACATTTGTTGTCCATCTAATAAAACATGAACGTTATAAACATTCAGCCCAATTTATTAAATGTGGATCTATTGGCTATATCACTTCTCCCAAAGGCTATGCGACTATAATCCATACTTCAAAAGATTTGGAATCTCATCATGTGGTATCCTTTGAACATGTGAAACCTCTACCAGAAATCTAAATTCTCCCTAATTTTGATGAAAAAATTTTAGTCCTGAAATATTCAAACCTAAACTGATATATGAAAAAACATTCAACTCTTCCATCTCATAAGCCAAATCCTCCATCCAAACCTATGCAAATTGATCTGCCACCTGAGCTTGCCAATGAGATTTTAATTATCACTCTCAAACGATCTTCCAGAATTTGTCATCCTCCAATTAGTAGGGCTTTCACATCACATTGACATTGATTTCCATTCCTTCAAGCTAGGCAATAAACATTATTAATGGAAAGAGACTGACAGAAGAATTTTGAGCTCTTGAAGATAATCATAATAGGGAGATTATTCAATATCCTCCAAAAGTTAAAATCCATAGGATGCAATTGGGCTTACTCAACCAAACTCCACTTTAATGGTACCCTAGATTGCTACAAAACATGGTTAATTGTTCTTGGCAACAAACAAGAATATGAGATTAACCATGAATAAACTTTTGCACTTAAAAAATGACTATAGTATGAATGCTTATCCCAATTGCTCCTTCATAAGGATGACCACTTTACCAAATAGATGTTGAAATGACTTTATTCATGATTTCAAAAAGGAAATCTACATTTCCCTCCCACTAGGTGTTCCTGCCTCCTATTGAAGTATGCAGGCTGAAGTGTTCCATATATATATTATATACTGAAACATGCTCCTCGTTCATGACATGATAAATTTCGAACCTTGCTTAATTTCTCTTTCAAATAGAGCCAATATGATTCAATATTATTTTTCTGTAAGACTTCCAATGGGTTTACTCTTCTTCTGGTTTAATGTGATAACATCATTATTATTTGAATAAATTTACCTTTAATTAGTGATCTACAATATCTTTAAATTATATTTCATACAATTAACTTAAATTTGGAGGTTCACACTAATGTCTCTAGTACATTTTTAAGCTAATCTAAATATACATGGGATCTAATTATTTTGGTTGTCCTCTAAAATACCTCTCATGTGGACACTCCTTTAGAAGTAAACACGAAGTATTGCATGAGGAAGATGATCTTTGTTCCTATCCCACTACATTCAAGCAATTAGTAGACAACTTAAGCTATTTAATAATTACTGGACTTGATATTTCTTTCGCAGTTCAAGAAGACAGTTTATGTAAAATCCTCATCACAAAAAAACCCTCATTAGTCAAATCATTCAATATTTTGTTGGGACATAAAGCCATGGCTTATTCTTTCCATTTGGTTCTCTTTCTCTTCAGCTTATTATTTCCATTTGGACATACATACGTTATCTTGTTTCCCTTTACTGTTTTAGCTAACTCTCCAACATTTTGCTACTCACACTATTATTTCCTGCTTCCATTGTTGCCTCTGCTTCCTGTTCTGTAGTATGCCACTATCCATGCTACTGTTTCCTGCAATTACTCATGCGTCGCCTCCAATATCCCGATGATCATTGTCGAATCACTGTTAGTGCTCACTCTGCCTGGTTTGGGCATTTTATAGGAGAACCTAAGAATTGGACTACACAAATCACAACCTTATAAGCAAGGTTTGATGCTATTGGAATTCATGAGGATCTATGTGTCTAGATCTTGATAGATTCTGAGAAGTTTCTTATTTGCGATCTTTTGTGGGCTATAAATAAGACCACTAAGACACAAAATCATATAGCACCAAGTATGACAATAAGAATTCTAATTTTCTTCCATTCCTATGTGTGCTAAATAGATGTGTATTATTTCCCTTCCAAAAGTTTTATACCGTTTGATTATATTAATGGACATCTAATTTGTCGTGAGACTTGTTTTGTTTCAGTTTTATACTATTTGATTATATTACTGGCCATCCAATTTGTTGTGAGAGTTGGGTTTTTCTTTGCCTTGGTCAATTAATGTTTGGAGTAGGTAAGTGTTTTAAGATGAGAAAGTACAGATGCATTGAACATTTGCTATAACGGCCAAAGTACTAACAAAAAGCAGGCAAATATGATCCATAAGCAAACTATTTAATCCATATGACCATTGAATGCACACGTTCTTTTTCTCTTTACGCGACCCATCATGCAAAAACACTAATTACTGATTGCCTTTAAAGAATTATCAGTACCCCATTTAGGCCAAAGCTTCCTCAAGCAATACCTTAGTACCCATGTTGGTCTAAGACTTACCCAAACTGAAATTAGTATTCCAGTAAATTTAAAGAAACATCCACATATTTATCATCATCATTCTTATCCCTTTGGATACGAATTCTCATGTTCCATTCACTTTTATTGAGAGCTACATAAGGTGTAAAACTCAATTTTGCGCACAATTTTTGGACAAATTCTGACTATGTTCATATTCTTACGATAATTCATTTTTATTTGGGCAGAATGACTTAATATAGCTCAAAATAAGAGAATCCTTTTGATGAGGACATCAGAAGATCAATTATCTACGGCCACGAGCTACTTTTGATTATTATTGTATTTGATATATTTTATTTTATATTTTTTGAGTCTATTGTTATTTCTTTCCGTTTATACCCTTGCTTAAAGGCCTCGTCATGTGTTTGCCTTAAGGGCAATTGCGTCTTTGTATTTTCTTTATTCTGTTAGCTATTTAAAGCCTTCTCCTCTTCATGTAAGGATGATGATTATTGAGAATGAAAAGTTTTATGTTCTTGTTGATCTCTTAGTGAGTTCATGTGATCTCTTAGTGAGTTCATGAGAGGAGAAGCCCGAGGAGGGTAATTCGCAATACCCGTCAATCTTTGGAAGAGTCCGAGGTTCGCGGTTCTTACGATCTCTGTGTGAGTTCGTTAGTTATCCCTATCTTTCTTGTATATTCTTGTTCATCGCCTTTCTCCCCTCTTCATGCAACATTCTTCTTCTCCACCACAATCTCCCGCAAGCAACGACCAATAGTTGAAAGGAGCCAAACCTCTCACTAGTGTCGCCATCATTGGAGCCCCTACCCGCCGGCCACCCTAGTTCTGTCGGCCGGCCACCTTGCCACCGGCCTCTTCCCTCTCCACCACTTCCCCACACCTCCCTTCCCTAGCCTTCTTGAGAATTCAAAATTCAAATTCTTTCCAAATTTGGAAATTCCATTTATGGAAAATTTTGAATGACTTCAAATCTAAAATTAAATTGATTTGGATTTATTTAAACTTTTCCTAGTCATCATTCATGTTTGGAAACCCCTCTCCCTCTTTCCCTAATTCCCCCTCTCTCTCTCCTTACCGCCGGCCCCCTCATTGGGTTCTCCATTGATTGCCATCAATACACCCCCTCTTTTTTTTTTTTTTTTTGAAAATTGAAATTAATTTCAATTAAAACTTTCCCCCATCCCAATTAAAACTGAAATCTATTTCAGTTTTCCATACAAAACCCTCTCCCTCCCTCTCTGTCCTTGCCGCCGGCCTTCATTGGGCTTCCTCCCATTAATTCCCCTCACTAAGGGATTAATTGCAATCAAAGTTTGGGATTCAAAATTCAAAACCTAACTCCTAAAACCTGCATTAAATTGCTGTCCAGCAATTTTCCAATTAGGAAATACTGTCCAGAAAACTTCCAACCAGCAATTTTGCCACCACGTCACTCCCGTCTACTATCTAGCAACCCTCCAAGAGCAGCCTAGGATTTTCCTGGACACTACAGATTGTCGTTCAGGCTACCCAAAGCATCAAGATTGCTAGCCAAGACTTGCATGACTGCTGTCCAAAACAGATATCCGCATCTAGAGAGGACTCCACCTGCTGTCCTGAAGTCCAGAAACAGGAAATTGATGTCCTGTATTCCCGGAGTCCTCGTTTTGCTGTTTTCGAGGCCTCCAGTCCCATTCTAGCCAATCCAGCTGAAGGTTTTCTCTGCTCAGGAGTCCTGACCGCAGCCACGTATCTTCTCTCTTTGGGTAAAGCTCTTTCTCTCACTCTTTTATCTTCGTAGTTACTCCTCAATTGTGGTCTTAGTAGAGTCATGAAGATAGTGTTGATACTTCTCCGTTAAAACCTTAGTGATCTAGTGAGTAGAGTGAGGGGTCCTTGCATCGCAACTATCCTCATTGTTAAGAAAGGGATTTTGTTGGAACCAATCATGTTTGCAACGTCATGGTAATTGACCAGTTTACAATCTTGACTTCCACGCATGTGATTTAGCCTAAGCTTGTTTTATCGCCTTATTATTTTATCTTAGCGTTTAAATCGGCATAAGTTTTATTTATAGTTGCTCTTGAACTGTTAAGCGTGCAAATTTCCTTAATCTAACCATCCATGCATGGTTGTTTCACATCACCTTTGGAAATAATCAAATATATTGCACATATAATCTGACCCAGATAAGTGAATAAGAAGATAGTAAAAGTTAAGAGCAAGCGCAAAAGCAAGCACCTGACACCAGCATTTAGCATCTCCTCAAAAACTGCCAAAGCTTCATCCTCTCGCCTGGCCTTCCCATACGCACTGATTAGAAGTGTATAGCTCACCACATCAGGTCTTATCCCGGATCTTTGCATCTAGAGAGGCTCACTAAAGTTCAGAATTTATGAGACTGGTGCTGGAATGTTCTATAAAAATAATCTTGCTATCTAGCAGTCAACCTTGAATTCTCCTGATATTTATTTATTCGTTGCATCGAACATGAATTTTGAATTAAATTATCATCTAAAAGTTTTGCTGTGTAAATAGCACTCATATCTTTTTTTTTTTTTTTTAATTTAAGAGAAGTTACGATTGCCTTTTTCTAAAATTAAATTGACAACGAATTAATATACAAACAATAAAATACGTGAGTCTCATCTCCACCCTAAACTAGTTGATTTATTTTCCATGTCAAGCTACTATCAATTATTTGCAAATATCAGTCACAAAAGATTGGGACGGCTTTTTTACTGCTTCTTAAATCATCTTTCTAGTACAAAAACTAAAATTTTTGTACAACAAAGTTGTTTTATGAAGCAATAAAAAAGCCGTCCCAAACGAAGACTAAGTTTCAAATTCAAACTGCCATAGTTCCTGAAAAGCTTGAAGGATTCATTTCAGTCACTTATATTGTTTGACTGCATATTAATGGGCTTGTTTGACTGCATGAGCAGCAAATATCAAGTTGAGAATTGATTGTGATTTTAATTGAAGAAAAGAGAGGAGCAGAATGATGAAAGAGTTACAATACCTGGTCATATATGCTCGAAACCTCCTTGTAGCTGGTTTCAAAAGACATTAGGCTATTAAAGGTAACAGCACTTTGCGGGATCCCTTTTTCAGCCATTTGGGAAAATATTTTTCGAGCTTGGTTGTAATTGCCAGCTTTCTTGTACATGTATATCATCATATGGAACATTTTCTGGTCAGGCTTAAAAGAAGCTCTCTCTTCATTCAAAAGATTTTGGAAAACTGCCTCAGCTTCCTCAAATTTGTTTGCCTGTCATAAATTTATTGTGTTGATAAGAAATAAGAAAGTTTCATTGAAAGGTAAAATGATAATCATCAACAGCACAAGGAGGACTATTACAAATCAAAGCCATACTACAATAACAATAAAGGAGGTTTTACTAGATCAAGGTCTGCCAAGGAAGCTTCTTTAAATCAAACTCTATATGGATAAAGAATCATTCCTTCCGAAATCATTCCATTTTTATGCTTATTCTAATGTTATACTTTAAAACAAGTCAGAAATTCCCCCATCTAAATATAGAAAACCTCCTTGGCTCACAGTAAAAGACTTCACCATGTTCCTGAATAAACTGAACTCATGAGCAAGCTATATCAATAGACAATCATATCAATAAGAAGTGATCAACTATTCTCTTCAGTAAAATATTTATCGATACCAAGTCAGACATGAACTAAAAGACTCCAGAACTTGAAGGCTCAAGTGTTATATAAGCACTGCTCTGAGGAAGCCCCGTTCTTGTTTAATGATAAAGTTTCATGTTACTTTTCTTCTTACGAAGTCTGTTTTGAAAGGCTTTAGTAATAAAAACAGCTTGCAAAATCTTTAATGAATTTAATTTGCTTATATAAACGGTAATAAGGTGGATTCCCTTTGATAAATTATATTCGGTTTGAGAATCAAAGATTTGCACATTCACTGCATTAGAGCTACACTATTAAAAAAAACTTATTTTACATTGAAAAAGATCCATTGTGAGAACATGCATCCGAATGATTTTTATTTCAACAATGCAAAATCTTACAAGGATTTTAATAATTTTCTTGATATGTAGTCTAAACTATATGAAAGAATAAACTCATATGCTTATATTTAGGTTGTTTCCTGTTAAAGTTAACAAAGGAAAAGCTGTGAATGGACCAACAGAAATGAACAAATTAAAATTCTGCAATGATTTTTTTCTAACGAAATGCTCTACATAGGGTTTTTTTTTTCCTGACAAAAATGGTCTAGATAGTGTTGAAATTGGGTATAAGAAATATGAGAGAAAAAACTATTCACTCTATTCAAATTGCAGATGTACATATTTACAGGTGCTAAACAATGCCAATAATCAATCATAAAATTAAGGAAAATTAATACATATTAATACAAAATAAATAATAAAGACGATTTGATAAGGATCCGACATGGGTCACAATGGTGCTTTTATAAAATTTTCACACTTCTCAAGCTAAGAATATATATCAATCATTCATAGATTAGAAGTTAGGTTATTGAATTGTGATTGATCATTGTCATTGGTCAAAATATTTGCTATCCAAGTCTTGTTGGAGCGTACTGTATTTGAATGATCCATTGATCAAAATTTTCTTTTATAAAATGTTTATCAATTTTCACACTTAATTCTATCATGGTGAACTATTCTTTGGCAATGCTAATTGTAGCTTAGCTGCCACAAATCATAGGTTCTTCAATGTAGATGTTTATGCCTTCCAAAAACTTTTTAAGCCACATTTATTCACAAACTACATGAGCCATGACCCTGAATTGTGCTTCAACACTGCTTCTAACAACAACCAATAGTTTTTTACTCCTCCAGCTGACAGTCTTCCCATACAAATAAATAATAACTAGAGGTAGATTTTCAATCAATTATGTACCTAGTCGAGTTAGCAATAGTAAAATTTTCACAATCCTATAATTTCCCTGTCTTAATAGTCAAGTCACATGAGTCCTTTTTAGGTACCTTAGTATCCTGTAGATGGCATCAATGTGTTACTAAATGAGAGTATACTTGCTAATAGCGAATAGTGCACCATAGCGCATAACACAGAGTATAATAGTGCTATATTAAAGATGGTGCAAAATATTAAAATATTATGAATGAAATTGCAGATGAATATAAGACTATTAAGTTGAAAGATAAATCATCATCATAATAAAAATAAATAAATGTGACGCTGAAGTTTAAGTGCCCAAAACTCACCTAAGTTTAAGTGCATTTTGAAAAAAATCCTACATTCTTTTGAATACCTAACATTGATAGAGATAGCCATAATAACATGCACATAGTAAAATTTTTTTAATAACAAAATACAATTTAGAAATAGCAAAGTCAGCATCATAGGTGAGAAATGATACCTTCATAAAAAAAATAAGGCGTGCGACTGCTGAAGAAGACAAGGCCACCTACTATGCGCGATGTACTAGTGAGTAGGATTAAGACCAAGCAACTATTTTGTGGAAAAGATCGTGCAGCTATTGTGCATGTGTAGCTGAGACTGTGGGGTCGATATGAGACCAGAGAAGTGCATGCGTGGCTGAGGAAATGGCCCAGCCAAGCAAGATGATGTAGTGTATACGTGTGAGAAGCTACTGATTGTTAGGATAGGATTTATTGAATGTGAGCAACTATGATAGTTATTTGATTAGCCGGTGATTTCCTTACACATATGGTGTTATCAGCCATCCCTTGAGAGTATCCATATTTTTTAATTATAGTAGTAAATCTCCTAAACTAGGTTCTTAGAGATTGCTTTAGGCAATATAAGAATTTCTTAAATTTACAAACTTTAATTTTGTTGTCAATGGCCTCGAATTAAGGAAAGAATTGAATGAAAAAATTCTCCCATTGTCAATTGAAAGGAATTAGATTTGGGTTAAAAAATGGGCTTGAACATAGAGATCAAATTTATTTACAAAATGACAAGTCTTATATTTGAATTTCATTAAGAAGATCCAAATAGGTATAGTGTGGTCATCTATAAAGAATATAAGCCACCTAGCCCCAAATATATTAGTCACATGAATAGATACCAAAATGATAGAGAAAAATGAAGACTTTATAGGAATAATTAGGATAAGTGTTCCTGGTGTGTTTTAATAATTGACAAGTTTCATTGAAATAACTCAAGATTTTTATTATTGAAAGAGATGAAATGTTTTTTGAGATAAAACTAGGATGATCAAGACGAAGGTGTCACAACATTATTGCCCTCTTTAGGGCAAGAAACATCTTAAGTATGTTTTATTTATAATGTAGGATTTTCTTCATTATTCAAACGATATAATTTAGTATTTTCCTTAGCATTAACAATCATCCACCCTGAGATTGCATCCTGGAATTCACAATAAGTAGGAAAAAAATTAATAACACAAGTCATATAGTTAAGTTTACTTATAATTTTTAAACCCTAATAAAATCGAGTTTGTGCATAGGCTTAAAGCCTTCTAGCATTGGTAAACGAGGTTAACTGGCAAACCCAATATGATGAACCCATGGGATCTTAATAGAGTTTTCTTTCATCCTCATAATCATTCCCCCACTTAATCATATTCAAGCCTAAATAATTGGCGTTAATTGACATTCTTAATTGAAAGCTCCTTTCCATATTCAGAAAGGATAACTAATTATGGGGGTTTGCTCCAGTAGGAAGTCACAAACCTAGATTGAAATAAACCATAAGCATTTGGGGAAAACTCTAGTTAAATTAATCTCTTGAAATCACAATTAAAATAAGAAGTGTTAAATAATTTTTTCAAGTTCGAAGACCTTTTAGAAGCTCATAACAATAAAGATCCTTACAGTAGGTTTAAATTTAGTATTTTTTTAAATTTACTTTAATTTGATTTGCATAATTAGGTTGTCTCCTTGTAAAGGGAAATGCTTTAAGCCTAAGAGGCATATACCTTGTATGTCGAATGCCTCCATTGATTGCCCTGGAAAAAATTGGCCTACCTAGTCAAGAAGCAAGCCTTGGAGAAACTTCAAACCGTTTTTAAAACACTTTTTCTTAGACGCCTTAATTTGGTGATATTATATGTAGTAATAAACAACTATGACATTTTTCAACAATTTATTGGTCATTAGCATTTGATTGAAAAATCTCATGGAATTTATGCATACATCTAAAAGGCATTTTTCTCTCTTTTTCTCAATCAGAAGGTTGACTACAAACAAGGATAAATCAAAAGGTCCATTTTTAATAAAACTGAGAACAACGCTCAATCACACATTCCATATAAAATTGAAGGGATGATTTTATATCTCTTGTATATATATATATATATATATATATATATATATATATATAGTTGCATCTAACCTTCTGTTTGTGTGAATTTCTTTTATTACTTTTTTTCTTATTTTAGACGCACTTTCAGTTTATGGATAGCTTGATTTAAAAAAAAAAAAAAATCATTCCCCTTTTATTTAAAGCTCCATGTAATTTTCAATTTAAGATCTTATTTAGTAGATTTAGATTATTAAATTCATATTTGGAGCAATATAAGGTTTTTTGCAATAGTTGTTTTTTCTTTGACTAGTTTAAGACTCCTCTACATGCTCTTTGGGCACATGTAATTTAACTAGTAGGAAATAACGAAAGAGTATCTGTGAGGATCCACTACGAGATGTTGCCATCAGAGTTTATATTAGCACTGTGCTGCAGAAAAATGCTAAGAGGCGTTTCAAGAACAGAAAACTGGCTCTTGGTTTCCATGCTTTAAAGGGTATAGATAACATGATTTTTTTTATTACTCACTTAAAACAATAAACATATGCTGATCAACTTCAAAACACTGATCAAGCCATCAACGAGATATTATCAATGTATTAAGCATGACAGTTGAAGTTCAGTTTTCCAGATGACAGAGAGGGATGAATAACTAAGATATTCCAAAGGTCAGCATAATTGAGTCAAAATAAAATGATACTAAATTAAAAGATAAAGGCAAAGAGGGATAGGGATTACCTCAACAAAAGTTTTAAGAATGATTTGATATGTTAATGGAGATGGCTCTGGCCCTGATGATTTCATCCTGCGAAAGATACCTTCAGCCTTACTGCATTGCCCAGCCCTTCCATATGCTTCCATTAAGGCTGTGTGAGATATTACACTTGGAGTATAGCCTTTCTTGTTCATATACTTAAGGACCCGCTCTGCCCGGTTGAAATCCCCAGTCTTTCCATAAGCTGTGATCAACATTAAAAAATCCATCTCACTGAATTCCCACCAATGCTGGCTCCTAAGCCATTCAAGAATCTGGAAAAGCAATAAAGGTTCAGAAAATATAGTAAATCCATGTAAAGAACTTGTTTTATCACATTGATGCAGCTTCCATCAGTCCAAAACCTTATTAGAAAAGACTTTTGGATATAATGTTAGCAAGGTTAATGCAGAAGAAACTTGAAAAAGTAAGAGAAAATGAAGATGGAAAGATGAAATCATTAGAAAAATAATAAGATAAACAAGCCTCGTTTTAAGAAGGAAATTACATCTCCATGAAGGAAGTCAAATCTCACACCTTATCAATGATCAAAATACTAAAATAGAAGAAGTAAGGTTTCAACGTCCACAATAAATGCCATAAATTGACTTGTATAACTTAGAATTTTCTTATTTATAGAAGAAAGAAATAACATGTTAAGATTTGCCTCAATAAAAGCATAAAATTCAAAATAAGTGATTTTATGATAAATTCAATATTATGGATAAGAATTGTTTTAAAGTTTGTTGCAAACTTTGAATTCCAACCGCCTTAAGTTCCTGCAAGAAGGAGATGAAAGAGAGGGAAGAAGAGTTTGCATGTGTTTGAGACCTATAGCCAACTGCTCTTAAGAAAAAGAAGAAAAGAGAGAACAAAAGAGATTAGGAAATTTTTAAGAAGAATGTAGGTGGAGATCTTCTTGTATGATTTAGATCTCTTTGTCTATTATTTCTCTTTTTTCATAATTGTAATTTACACAACATATTCGAATGTTTTCAGATTTAGTTTTTTTTTTTTGAAAGATGCGTATAGCATTAAAAAAAAAAAAAACAGCTATTACAAACTAAAAAAGCCTAGGCAATCCTTTGAAAGAGAAAGGAAGCCTTTATTTGAAGTAATTTAAGCATAGAGAAAAAATTCAAAAAAAGGAAAAATCATAATGAAAATAAGATCCTCTACTAATCATTTTAAATCAATTGGGGTGAAGGGGATACCAAAGATTAAACAACAACCCAAAAGGTTGATTAGTATCCCAGAATTCCCGATTAGGTAAAAAATAAAATTATAGAGAGTGCCTAGTTTCCATTAATCTAATTCCCCTTTCCAAATTCCAACTTATGCTTAAAATAAAACTAGAGAAAACAAGAAAACTAAACAAAGAACATAAAAATAATTGAAAGCCATAATCATCCGCTGAGAAGGAAACTTCAAGCTTCACTTCATCCATTCTGTTATTCACAATCTTCAACATCTTTACCCAATCCACAAGCCAACCATGGATTCCTTCAGACGTATCTATGACCATATCATGAGGCAAATGATGAAGTGGGTCTAACACTATCACCAATACCCAACTTCTTTCCTCTTCGACTCCCTTTGATTGGACCGAACACATTCAAATCTTTATTAAACTTTTTCTTCATATTCCCTGATTTGAAAGGAATAAAGAATTTACCATCCTCTATCACGGCTTCATTGTTCTTTACTTTGTTTATATTATTCAAAGTAGTGATGGAATTTTGCAATCCAACCAAAATTTCAATTTCTTTCTTATGTTCTTTGCACTTCAAATGTTCAGCCAGAGACATTTATTCCATAACAGAATCTTTGTAAACAACATTCTCTGTACCAAGAACCTCTGATTTGTCTAACACGACTTGTTCTAGACTAGTAGAACAAACTCGCAAATCTTCTCCCATTTCAGCATACTCAACACTCGGATCTATTTCACCATCTTCTAGTTGTTCCGGTTCAGAACTAACCAAACCAGAGTCTTTATTTTTCTCTTCTGTCACCGAGCATTGCAAATCTTGATCTACTCTGCTTTCTTTGGCTAGCATTTCATGTTCTTCACCATCCATTCTAACCAGTTCTTCAGCAAAAACTTGGGGCAACAATTTGAATTTGTTCCTAGTTATCTCTTCAACCAGTGCCAAGCTATCTTCAGGAATCTTCAACTCAGCTGAAACCTAAGAATTCTCCTTTGAAATCTTCTATTCCTCTTGAACTTCACATGAATCCAAGGACCATAAGAATTTTGTTGGTTTTCAATATCCAATTTGTCCTTAGATTTCAATTCTAAAACTGATCCAAGTTTTTTTGAATTCACCAAATTGGTTCCTTGGCCAACATCTAAACCTTTGTTACCCACTCCTTTGACAACTTCTGTACATGACTCCATCTTGTGGCCTATCAAGCCACAATTGAAGCAGAAAGAGGATATTTTTTAATATTCAATTTTCTGAAAAAAAAATCTTCCATATAACCCTTCAATCCAAACTCCAAGAGGTAACTTAGAGTCTAGATTAATTCGAACACATGCTCTAGCAAATTCACACCTCCCCCATTTGAACATTTTCCCATCCAACAACAAAGGAACTCCTATCTTTGAGACAATTTTGGTGACATTAGTCTCATCACAACAATGAAGAGGCAAATAGGGTAAGCGAATCCAAATGGGTGATGATAGCCCTTTCAACGAAGTAGGGGAAAATTTGGGTGTCCATTTATCCATTCCTATTATGTGCCCTCCCACATACCTTGGACCTCCATGCAATACTTCTTCCATAATCTGAGTAGAATGAAAAGAACACAAAATCCAATTGAGTCCCAACGAGGTAATATGAAACTTCCCAAATTTATCCCATTGACGCCTTAATTCAATGCTACAAAGCGAAAACGGAATTCCTTTCCCAAAAACCTTCACTACAAGAGATTTTTAAAGCAATTTTACATTTTTAGCAACCTTATTCATGCCAAGTTTGACTACATCCGATTCAGCATTATCTCCAAATCAGGATGAAATGAATTAATTGTTATATGATGTTTTTTTGACCAAACATTTACCGAATTTGAATCAAAATTCGATAAGGTATCCTGATTAACAGCTGTTTGATTTCCAACATAAGAAATCAATCTTTCATCTTCCTTAGATTTCATCAAATTTGAATTCAAAATCTCCTGATTATCCGCCTCAACACAGGGTAAGTTTGAAAATCTGCTTAACTTCAACTTGCAGCCTATGGAAGACGACGCCTCCACATTATTTGCCGCTCCTGCCAACCAATTCTTCAATGGGGATGAAGGACTCGACTGAATCTTCTTGTCTAAAATTTCCAAAGGTTCTTTGCCTTTGCCCAGCAACGAAACCACATTGTGGTTTGGAAGAAACCGACCTTCGGTGATAACCAAAGGTCCTTGTTTGATCGCAAATTCCTGGTTCTTAGAATTTCTACTGTTGGATCCACCATGATTAAAATCATTGGGAAACCTGGTAGAATGAAGATTTGAGGTATTCTGGTCATCAAGAGATGATGACCAGCTACCCTCCACCATTCAGGCGGTACCAGAAGATTTGGATCGAAAAAAATTTGAAAAATGGCAGTTTTCACTCTCTAGAAATCGGGAGCCTCTCTCTCCTTATTATTTGTTTTCAGATTTAGTTGGGTTCAAAGATTAGGGCACTTTTGGTGAGATGGGGTTTACTTGGCTTGGGGAACAGTGTTTTTTGTGCCCAATTTTATTTGTGCATTTGTGTGGCTCTTCTTGATAGTGAATTGGATCCTCTATCCTCTCTTATAGAAGTTTATTTTTGAACTACGACCTTACTTGAACAGGATCTGTTCTATAGGATCATACAGTTGCATCTTTAATGATTAAAGAGGCAAGAAAATTTAATAATACTAAGTTAAGTGTTGCAGAGATGAGGATGCTATGGTGGATGAGTGGCTTTACCCTTAGAGATAAGATACGAAATGAACATATACGTGAAAAGGTTGGAGTAGCTCCAGTGGAAGATAAGATTAGAGAGAGTCGTCTTAGATGGTTTGGCCACATTAAACGGAGGCCTTCTAATGACCTGTTAGGAAAGTTGAGGTATTAGATTTGACTTATGTTAAGAAAGGTAGAGGTAGACCTAAAAAAACTTGGTTAGAAAATATTAGAAATGCTCTTTATTTATTAGATTTAAGTGAGAATTTGACTTTTAAAAAAAAGTGAAAATTTGACTTTTAACATGACACAATGGCGAAAAAGGATTCATGTAGCCGACCCCACGTAGTGGGACAAAGGCTTGATTTTGTTGTTGTTGAACTACTTAAATCTTTGTGTATTCATTAAACATTTCCTCTCTTTATTATTACTTTGTGTTCATCATATATATGCTTAGTAAAGCTTCCACATATAAGGTAGATTTTTTCTAACATTATAAACCACTAAAAAACTGCTAAAATTTTGCTAAAAAAATGCTAAATATTTGCTAATATACCTAATTAAACTTGGCAAAATAATGAACTCTAAGAGACATAAAAGCGCTCAAATATCATTGAAAAAATAAATTATAAATTTATGCCTACATAAAGGCAAAAACAATTGAATTCAACAAATTCAATCATTGCAACAATGCCATCAAAAGAAAATTATAAGGAGGTCCATCAAATTGGCAATAATTATACTTTGTTAATAAATAATTAGATGGACATCCAAGTCATTGAAGATGTTTTTATTCATATAGATTAAGAAACCTCACGACAATCAGAGATACTTCTTCTCTACTTGGCCCATCCCTGAAAGGATTCTTCTCTGCTTCCAAATTTATCGAGTCGGACAATATGCAATTTTCCATCTAATAAGATCTTGACAAAATTCATGACCAATGTATAGGATTACTGGATTACAACTAAGTTTTTTATGCATTTCAAGAGTGACATAAAAACTACTTCAGGATTTTGTGAAATACAAAGAGACTTATAAAAAAAATCGAAAGTTTATATAAAAAGATAGGTTTCCTTGAGGTTTGATTTTTCTTCTATTTTCTAATAATTTGGTAGCAGTTTTGCATATTCATATTTGTCCAAACTTGCACCACTAAAGCGAGATTGTGCTAATATCCATTTAAAATAGGACAAGCTTGCAACATTAAATTAGCAAATGTGTCCTTGAAAAGTAGGTTCTAATGTAGGTTGGGATAGGCCAACATGATTATATGATTTCATCAATCTCTTCATGTTTGGATACGGTTCCATAGGTTGCATGGTCCAACAGAGATTGTATGGAATGATACAGTCGTGGTTCCAAATAAATTTCTAACAATGCACAAAACACAACATGCAGGAAATACATCACAGAAAACTGCTAATATTGGCCACTAGAAAAGGAACTGGATAGTATAGAAAGTTCAAACCACGAGGCTATTAAATTCATAGATTACATAGCAAACTGAAAGGACAAAAAAAAAAAAAAAGAGAGTAAAGCATAGCTCTTAGCTAACCCTATAGTGAGAACTTTGATATATTCAGAAAAAATAAGAACTTTGATATATTCAGTAAACATATACAAGAAAACCAACATTTCTTCAATACTAACAAAGGGTTTGCAGAAAAAAAAGGCTGTGTTCAATCTATACCTCACCAACAATGCCCCATTTCTTCAACTGCTTAAACCTCACAAGGGTTCCAAGAACAAGATCTCTAGGAAGTGCCTGTGCTTTGGTCCTTTGCATCCTAAGAACTTGCACAGCACATCCCTGCTCTTCAATCTCCCTCATCATTCTCCTCCAATTCTTCTGCTCCATTTCATCAGCAGCATCCTTGAAAACCTCTTCTTTCTTTCTCCTTTGCATGAACTTTCTCGGAGCCAGAATGCCACGAGCAACTACCTCCAAACTTCCATTGGTTTTCACGCTCTGCAGGCATAGCTTCCGGTAAACTTTTGCTTTGCTGAGCACAAATCGAAAAATTCATCAAAGAAAACACATGCAAGTCTGATAATTTCGTAAGCTTGAGATTAATGATCAAATATAAACAAAGCCTTAATTTAACTCTTTTGCTACTAAAAACCTAACGTATTATTGGAGTTCTCCACGAAATGCAAATACAAGAAGATAGAGAAGATCCAGTATAGTAGCAAATGAAAAGCTAGGATTAAGAAGCTCACCAAAGATTGGAAGAGAACGAGAGCAATGACTGAGAGGCGACTACTTCCATGGGCTTGAGAAACGGTGGGGAGTCGGTGGCGCGAGAGTGAGGAGGGTAGCCTTATCGTAAACCCTCCAAGGACCCCGTCCTTAAACCCAAAAATCTCAAATCTAAATTATACACGATGCTTGACCTATTGGCGGCTATTGGTTTACAGCTTAGGCTTTCAATTAAGAGGTTCAAGTTCGAGTCTATGTATATGCGTAGTGTGTATGAGTTTGTCTTAAATGGCCTAAATGTCCCAAAAAAAAAAAAATTATACACGATGCTTTATTTGAATTTTTATTAGGTCCGGATACCTGTCCTAGCTCTCTATCCGGATGCTAATAAAATGTCGTCATATGCTCTTATTTTTTATCGTGCGGACCAACGACCTGACCCGGAATAAAAAGCCGGTATTGCTATGTTCGTCTATTGCTAGATATTGCTCGGTATTGCTTGACAATAACGAGAAATATCACTCTGTCAATATCAATATCGAGCAATATCTAGCAAAATCGGGCTATTGCTAGGTATTGCTCGATATTGCTTAGTATTGGTCTTGACAGAATGATATTTCTCGTTACCAAGCAAAACCTAACAATACCCTGGTATGTACAAATCAGCTAATACATAGCAATATTGGGTTCCGGTCCGAGTCGGGTCGTCGGGCCGCACGGTAAAGAGTAAGAGCACGTGACGTCATTTTATTGGCGTCTGGATGTAGAGCTACGTCAGGTGTCCGGACCTAATAAAAATTCGCTTTATTTTGGGCGAACAACTTATTTTAATAAAAAAAATTACCATAATTTTTATCTGGTTTTATTTTTATTTTTAAATTTAAAATTATATTAATTTTTATTTTATTTTAATTCTGATATATTTAAAGTACATAATAGTTATTATTTAAAAACTAATTTCATTATTTAAATAAGATTATATTGAACAAAAATGTAATATTTAAAAAATATTCTTGTTACTTAACCTACATAATATATTATATTTTTCCAATTTAATTTTATTGAACTTGATAAATATTGTTGCGGGTTAGAATATATACGGTGATAGAGTTATAGTTCTACGTCTTAGTATTGTATGGATATCTAGCTCACACACAGATAATATAAGATTTTTAATGTGGAAAATCCTGTAAGGAAGAAAAACTACGAGACATAGCCCAACTGAAAATAATTTTACTAGAATTTGAGTTGAGTACAGTAGGCTGACTCGTCCTTGAGGGTGATCAGATTACAAATGTCAACCGTATGGTTGTGGTCTAGTGACAAACGTGGATGAAAGTCTGACATCAGTTGGTGGTCTGGCAGAAGTCCAGTTGTCAGTTGGTGGTCCGACGGAAGTCCCGACATCAACCCGTGATTTGGTGGAAGTGGCGTCATGCAATGATTCGGTATCAGGCGGTGGTCTAGTGGAAGTTCGACATAAGTTGGTTGCCTAACAAAGCTTCAGCGTCTGGTGGTGGTTCGACGGAACTTCGACGTTGGGTGGTGGTCCGGCAGAACTCCGGGCGTCTGGTTGTGGTATGGAGGAACTCCAACGTACGGTGGTGGTCCGACGGAACTTTAGTGTCAAGTGGTGGTCTGACGGAACTCCAGCGTTAGGTGGTGGTTCGGCGGCATTCCGGGCGTCAGATGGTGGTCCAGCGGAATTCCGGGTGTCAGGTGGTGGTCCGGCAAAAATTCGAGCGGTAGTCGAGGAGGAGCATGGGGGCACGAGTGATCTCCAATCTCTCTATTGTTTCCTTTTACTTGGGTCCCTTTTCATGAGAAAGGAGGCTCTATTTATAGATTTTCTAGAGTGACATGACCTGTAAATAGGAGGAAGATCAAGGGTACTTTGGGAGTGGTTTGTATGGACGGCTAATGTTGATTTCCTTGATCATGGATCATTTGTTGGACATTTGAGTGTCTTAGTGATAACGAAATTTAGTGATCTTGGCCTCGTTGGACTCGTCTCGTCGAGCCGCTCGATTTGATTATAAGCATGTCACATTTGAAAACCATTTGGTAAACTAAATTGTATTTCAAACCTTCTAACATCACTTCGGATCCTTTATTTGGAACCATTTGGGCTTGGATGGAGTCGAATTTGGTGTCGTTGGGTTCGTATTTTCGAGACGTTTAGTTCGACCGTAAGTTTGCTAAAATCGGAGTCAAATGATCTCAAATTTATTTTTGGAAGTTTTCAACTTGATTTTGCCTCTAGATTCGTGCCCGATCAAAATAATTTTTGGATGGTATATATATCAAATGTTATTTATAATTTACCAATTATTTATTGGTATTGAAGGAATTCTATCATAATTCAACACTAATTTTAAAATGTCATAATGATGGGGGTGTTTATGCGTATTTTAGTATATTAAAAATTATAAGGGTCTTTATATGACGATATTTGAGTATATTAAAATTTTTACTACAATCAAAAAATTCATAAGGAATATATTTTCTTTTTTTTTCCATATAGGGAAAATTCTCATGACACATTTTTAGCCAATTTATTTTTATTTTTAATATTCAAGAAATGATTATAACTTGATGCTAGCCATTATAATGTAATTATAGCTATCACTGAATTAACTAATTAACTATCTACCTATTACAAGTTGTTGGGGATATGAAAGTAAATCATACAACGAACACAAAACAAGAAATAAAATGCATCGAAAATAAGGCGAACACAGGATTTAACATGCAAAAACCTGAAATTAGAAAAACTCCATGGAGTCACATCACACCAAGAAATCCACTATGAAAATTGGGAGAAATTTATGCAGATCTCTATTCTCTCTCGCTCTCTCCTTTCTTCTCTTCACTCTTATGCTATTCTCACACACAAAACAAAAGAGAAAGTCTAATAAATATACCAAGGGACGCCACCCTTTTAGAAAAATGAGAAATAAAGTTATCCAATCCACCTCGAAGTGTTGTTGCGGCGTTGAATTTAGAGTGTTGCGGTGCTAAGCTCTATGTCATTTCTCCCAGCAAATTTTGTAGCACCCGGGTGCTTGGGAACACAGTACTGGAGTGCTTAGGTACACAACATTGGGCGCTTGGATACACAACGCTGGAGTGTGTACAAAAAAAATCGACATGATTTCTCTTCTAGAGTTTTTCTTGGTGGCAATTTCTCACCACCTTTCTCATCTTCACTATTTTGCATGCCTCCAATCTCCACATCTCTTTTCACCACTATGTTTCGGCCCTTTGGCCCTTTTTCTTTGCTGTGCTTATATGGATGCTTCAGATTTTGTGCAACGTATTCTTTATGAATGGAAATCTTCCTCATGTTAATTATGTAATGCCTTTACTTATGAAGCCTCAAGCTATTAAAATCCTCCTGATTGTCATTTAGTTACTAAGTATATGATTAATTTTTGTCATGGCAAAAGTAGAAGCATAAGTAGAGGTGAACTACTTAGAGGGAATAGTCATTATAAAGCCATGTACATTTCTCTTTTGGCGATATGAATGAAATAAAAATCTTATGATCTAATAATGTTAGATACCAATATTTTTTTATTATTGAAGAAAGAAGAATAATTCTTCAAATTAGATGTTGGGACGAGTCGCCTTTGATCACTATGGCTTAAAACAATCCCCAAGGCGATGTTTTGTTATATTTTCTACTCATTTGCTGAATTTTGGTATTCAAACTAGTGTTGCTGATCCTTACTATTTTATCAAAATGGTACCACTGCTCTTTATATTTTGATATATGTTGATGACATTTTGTTAACTGATAATGATGAATCATTCAACATTTGCTCATGGATCTTCACAAGCGTTTTCAGTTAAAGAATTTAGGATCTGTTCATCACTTTCTTAACATTCATGTGCTACCAACCTCAAATGGTTTTTACTTGAACCAAGCAAGCTATGCTACAGCAATACTTCATAGGGATGGTATGCAAGACTGCAAACCACTTGCTACCCCAATGGCAACCAAAATTTCTGCTTCAACGAACAACACTATTCCGTCTGCCAGTCTATAATTTTATAAATATCTAATTATAATATTTGAATATCACCATGCCAGATATATATTTCTTATACAACTAATAAGCTTTGTCAGTATATGCAACAACTGTTAAATAATGCTCATTTTTATTTACTCAAACGTCTTCTTCGTTATATCAAAGTAATGTTATCTTTGGGACTATCGATTTAGCCTAGTCCACTTAAACTTCTCGCATTTTCAAATTCTGATTGGGCATGAAATACTACTAATCATAAATCAACAATAGGGTGTCGTGCCTATCTTAGAAATAATTTGATCTCTTGGCAAGTTAAAAAACAAAAGATTGTAAAAGCTCGCTCTTCCACCGAGGTCGAATATCATTCCCTAGCTACAACTGTGGCTGAGACAGCTTATTGTTGAGTTTTACATCTCTCTTGCCACTTCCACTGAATTGTTCTGTGATATTATTTTAGTCATTGGTCTTGCTAACAATCCCATTTTTCATGATCGTACAAAGCACATAGAGATCGACTTACACTTTATTCGTGGTTGTGTTAAGAATAATTCCATTTCTATTCATCATGTCAACACCGTCGATCAAATAGCTGATATATTTACTGATATATCATCAAAAAATTATCTTGACCGGGCACGAATTTTGAGGCAACATAAAGTTAGAAACTTCAAAAATTAAATCTGGGATCATCCAATTAACTTTGATTTCTGCAAACTTACAGTCGAAACTGAATGCCTCAAAAATACAAACCCAACGACAACAAATTCAACTCAATTTGAGCCCAAATGAGTCCAAATCAAAGATCCGAAGTGCATTTAAAAGGTTTAAACCATAATTCGGATTACCAAACAGTTTTCAAATGTGACATGCTTATAGTTGAGTCGAGCGGCTCATCGAGACAAGTCCAACGAGCCCAAGATTATCGAATTCAGATATAATCAAGACATTCAAATACCAAATAAATGATCAATGATGAAGGAAATCAATATTGGTCATACATTCAAACAACTCCTAATTTATACTTGATCTTTCTCATATTTACTTATCATGTCACTTTCATAAAATTATAAATAGATCCCTCATTTCTTATGAAAGTGGACGACATAAGCAAGAAGAGAAGGAAGA